ATTCATGTACTTAAACAAAAAGTGTTCCGGCACCTATGGTTTGTAAATAATAATAATAATCGATCGTCAGACACACATAAGCAATCGAATAGGTATATTTTAATCGTGTACGAATTATCCAACAACTATCCCAATCGAAAATGGAATCCATTCCTTGGTTACGTGGACTGGGCGTGAGCCGTGAACGTGCCAAAAAAATTGTCATTATCATTAGATAGTAAAACTCGAAATGAACGCCCGACCTACCCCCGTTTTGTGAGCACGGTTGCTCCACGCCAAACGATTTTTAAACTCTAAACTAAACCAAAAAGATGAAGGGGTCGTGGCTAAAAGGTTGGTTTGCAAAATAATTATTGTATTATATAGTATAAAATACAAATAAAAATATTATATACAATAAAATATGTATATGATAAATACATATTTTATTTATTTCAATAACTATGGCTTCAATAATTGTAGAAGGTCGCGACGATTAAACGAGTCGATTTTACAATTTTTTTTTTTTTATTATAGCTTCAACATCTACACTATTAGCCAGACGTAAGCAATATATGAATTATTTGGAATACATTTTAAGCTAGTTTTACATTTAAAAATTACTGTACATGTTAATCTTTTTTAAATAATAAAACAATTTAGGAGTATTTTCGGTTGAAAATATGGTTTTGAGGCGTGTGTTGTCACCAAACATGTGCCTTTCTTATGACCAACGATGACATTCAAGAATGATGTGTGATGTGTCTGATTGTGAGAGCTGAGTCACATTTACCACATATGGGTTGGTTGAGGTTCTTTGGTGATGAGGCGGAGATGGGTAATTCGAGATTGTCTTATGCGTATTCTTGTTAGAGTTGACTGATATTTTCTTGACATGTTATTGTATATTTATATGTTATGATATTTGTTATTGTTGGATTAATCTGGTACAGCTTGTTGGAGGTTTCTTTTCCCCAGAGAGATTTAAATAAGTCTTTTGCCTTTATGTCTATTGATCTTCGCATGTTTCTGACAATCGTTGTAATACATGATATTACAATATTCTACCTAATATTTAAAGTTTCCATAGTTTTAAGCCGCATCGATTTTCATCGTAATATATTGATCATTTTGGGTTTTCGTTTTCATAGACCATCGTCACATAAAACACTTTTTGAATGATTTCTCAACAATACTCAAAAAAAATATCGTAAGCATTAAAGAAGTTTCAGGAGGACGAGAGCTAGATTTATTAAAATCCGTAAAATCAAGTAAAAACTATTTAAGATTTCATAATTTTTAGATTCAAATTTTCTAGTGAGAAATTTATTCAATTAGTATTTAACCAATTTAGTATTACAAATTAAAACTTATCGAGTTTTGAGTACAATTAGCCTACCCTGAAATTGTCGTAAGATTGTTTGAAACATTTTTACCAAAATATGTAGTAAGTATTCTACAGTATACGGTTAATATTATTTTACTTTTACTCAAACCGTAATTATGAACAAATTTATCCATTATTAATGAATACTTAAAGTTGTTAAATAATGAAACGCAGATATCGCATGATTTGTTCAGTTCATCATATATTTGTGGATTTATGCATTGTAGGGTTAATAGCATTTTAATATTATAAATAGGTACAATATTATTTAAAACACATTTGAATTGTTTTCATTGTTTTATTTAATTTGATTATAACTTGATGATGGTAATTGATTTAAGTATTATGAAAGAGAATCTTAAATACTATACATTACATATTGTAGCACTAATGTTGGCACTTGGCGAATGTAATTAAAATACCACAGCGATAGTAGGTAGGTACATGTGTTCGATTATTATTATACGAAAATAGATTTAATTGAATTAGGGTTTTAATTTAATTTGATGTATTATTGATATAAGGCTTCAACTGTTATAATGATTATTATTTTATTAATGTTTTTATTTTTGTCAAATCAGAGAAATTATAAACTCATATAAGATAATATTTAATAAGTTTATAATTGAAAAATATTATGATCCTGGAAGATTTATTTTTAAAATATTTGAATACAATCTAAAACTTCAATATATTTTTAGTATTCAAATAGGAAATATGTTAAATAACACAATAATAGGAATTCGTTTTTTAATTTTCATAAAAATACTAGGACTGGACGATTGGTATAAACTGAATCTCGTAGTGGCTTTTTAGACCATGTTATTATTTTTTTAAGTTATAGCACATTTAAGTTTTTTCGCTTACTACACTAACGAGTTTTTTGGTATAGACACATTTTCGAAATTTAATTTTTTTTTTGTTATTACTTCAAATTAAAAATACTAGGACGAAACAATGCAAGCAATTAGAAAATTCAGCCCACAGTACTTACTTAGTGAAAACTTGTTGTCCGGTTAACACGGTTTTACTAAATATTGAGGATACCGTTGTTAAAAAGCATATATAATAAAATAGTCGGATAGTATAATATAGTCTGCAACTGGAAAAGTTCTTCGAGCACAAATCACAATGCAGAAATATGTTATAAAGCCTACGTGGATTAATCGGTATGCGAACAAATAATTAAAAGGAATTCCCATGAACGTACTAGTTTTTTAGCACAAATATTACTATCAGATTAAAAGAACCTTGGTCAATGTATTAGGCACCCATTTAAACAGTCATGCAAACAGACTACCATGGCTGCATTTATAATAATTAACATTTTTATAATAAAAAACATTAGGTTGCCTACCAGTTACCACACGAACATCGGACATTTTGTATCCACCTGGAAAATTATTATCTATAGGTGTATATTTATAATTTAACTGTTGTAGAGTAAAACATCCAGTCCATTCTATAATTACCTTCTATGTATAGACTTAGTATCGTTCGATCAATTCGAAAACAACAGAAAAGATCGGTATGATGAAAAAATAAAACGTTATCATTATTGAGATGAAGGTCTTCAAGACTCAACCAATGACCTTTCTAAAAAAATACAACAGCAGCGATTATTCAATGTAAAGTAACGCGCACGCAAAAAAAACACCGCAAAAACTGGTTTGTACACCTACTATTTATTTTTCTACTGCAGCCTACTATTACAACTTTTATAATATTTCCGGTGTTATAACGTTGGAAAGGGAAATGTAACGCTTCTTCGTTTTTAAGTATTGGCAATAATTGACATTATACGTAGTATTAAAATATAACATGTAATTTTCGGTTAAGTTAGGTCGGCAAGACTCATCGTCAAAGCGATGAGGAGGTGATTTTGTTTAAGACCCTGTCCCATATTTTTTAACCAGTCAGTACCTACTATAAATTATAAGTAGTGATTTATTTTCTTTTTTACGTTTCATATTTTTTTAAAGCTATAACTTTAAAACTGCATCTCATATACTACAATTTCACACTGTTTACATGTCGTGTATCATAGCGACATTGAAAGTCTAGTAAGCCAGACTAATCGCCACATAATAGTTACTTAGAATCATTAAACTAATAATATTTAATTTTGTATAGTAAAACAATTATGTAAAAAAAATATATATTTTTTAACTTTTCACATGTTGTCTGTGAGCTCTTGTAAAGTTCAATGAATAGCTACAAAAATAGCTGTAACCCCTTTTCTTGGAAAGTACGGTGTACAAGTTGGGTTAAAACAAATATTGTTTTTTATTCAAGACGAGTTGACTTAGCCTTTGTATTTAAGTAAAAATAGCATTTATTGTTTTATTTCATAATACAAATTTATTTAAGTTTTTAATTAAATTTAATAAGGCGGAATTATTATATTTTCAAATTATCTATAAAATATCCAGTCGTTAAATTATAATCATACAAGAAACGGTCTTAATATGGTTATCTTAACTACCAGATGAGCCAGGTTAATTATGTAATAATAAAATATTAGTATTCAATTACCTCTTCGAAAATATCTTAAATGTATGTATGTATCTAAACCATGGGAAATTGTTCTCGAGCAGTAATTTCTAAATAGTAAATCGCAACTTATATATTTATATTTAAACATTTTGTTTCACTTTTCTTAAATCTACAACAAAAATACAAAATCTTTAACTATTAATAGCAACCAAACCTACATGTTATATCAGTAATAGGGTTTGGCCGACAATTACTAGTTTAAAATCGTTCTTACTTATTTTTCAAATTGATGTTATTTATATTATGCTTATAAAATTATTACCTTTATAATTATAATATTATTAATGTTTAAGCAAGTAAAGAGATTAAGTGAAACTGGTTATTTCGACCGAAATTGTTTATAATATCACATTCTTGTATTCACTACTAATAAACTAGTTAAATGTGTTAGTTTCACTTAAAAACTAAGAAGTTAATATACCTACAATGAATTTTAATTGAAGCGGAAATGTCATAAAATTACAATTTATTACCAAATCAACTAATCGTAGCGATATTGACATGTTTTTGACTCGAATATTTCAAAAACATGTCAATATCGCATGTTGTTACCTCAAATGAAAAAAAAAACAAAGAAATATCCAAATTTGTATTATTATAAATACATTTTGCATTAATAAAATACGTTAATTTAAAGCTTAGTAATTTTAATTTTTAATTTTATTATTATATCTGTAATGGATATAATAATTAAATTTGAAAAAATATTATGTCATTTGTCACAAAAAATCAATACAAAAATCAAACGCGCTGTATCGACAGCACAATATAATGTTAAGATATAATTATAGTTAATCGTTTAAGTCGAACAGAATGCAATATTTGAAACCCTTAATTTAACGACACGTGGTAAACACAGACCAGTCTGTATAGTGGGGTATACACTAGACTGACTGGTCGTTTCCATTTGCGAGGAAACCACCGAAACCGAACCGAGACTCACTGAAGAATTACGGAAACTCTTGTCCCTACTTAATTAATTGGTTTATGTGAAACGTGTGTGGCGCAAAAAAAAAATAAGACAACAACTTACTCCCTGTAACAAAATTAATGTGACCGTGTTGCCAGCGAACGTGTACGGTTACAATCCGAGTAAATTGTCTGCGCTTCTGACCGTGATCGGAAATGCAAGACGTTTACAGAGGTCGTCGCATGGATATAATATCGTAAACCGTGAACTTGTTAAAACTCATTGTCGTTGCCTATAATCGTCGGCACAACTCCACGGTACACGGTCCCATGCGGAATACCTGCTCGAAATCGCTGTTTCTTTACCGACCAAAATAATGGAACTGTCGTCGCTAAAAGGTTAGTGTGTACAATCGTGTTTTTATGTTATTCTGTTACAACGCACTACCATTCGGTCGGTGGACATTTTATTTTATTTTTAATAAAAAGGCGAGGACGTTGTTTTCTGTGGTCGAATTTCTCTCTATTCGTGGGTTATATTGCCAATAGGTGTGTCTAGGGTGTATGCCCCGGACAGCATATCAATCTGAAATGTTTCCAAGCGTTTTTTTTTCTAGTTAAAAAAAATCGTAAAACAGTTTTGCGATAAATTCTGTTTTAAAAATATTATTCACAAAATACCGTTAGAATATTTTCAATATTTTAATAATATTTGAGTAACTGATTGTGTGACCAACAACGGTTTAAAATGAATTTATATTCACAGATTTTGGCTACAAATTCTATGTTTTTTAAATATTACTACGTGAAAAATAGTTTTAAAATATTTGTTTTCATCAAAACAATACAATTTGTCTAAATGTAATAAAACCTCTAGAAAACAATATGGAAACATTTGTATTTTTATGCTGTCTGGGAATAATAGCAGAGAGCCTATTAAGCAGGAAAACAATTTAAATATTTTCAAAATATTGTTAACTAGTTTTCAATATTTTTAACATAATATGCTATGGTGATGTTTTGGCACGAAATTCACAAATTATATTAACAACATTTGCATGAAAAATGTTTGAAAATATTTCTCATGTTTTCAATTCTTATTTACTTATGCAATATTTTGTATCAACTGAGGTTCTCAGTTGATATATCAATCCACGAAAGTTTTAACGCATTCAAATATTTTGTATGTTACACTTTTAAAACATTGATTTTGTTAAAACAATATTATAAACATATTATAACATTGAAAAAATGGTAGCCATTTTAAAAATGATTTTAAATTGTTCGCTGGTTCTCACACAGCAGTTTCATACTTATAAAATATTTTTAAATGATTTCAGATCATATTTTGGAAAGATATCAAGTATCTAAATTAAGATATAAATGATATTTAAATAATTAAATATATAGTACTTTATAATATTTTGCACAAATCCTAAAAAAAAATTTAAACAATATTTATATTTCTTAAATCCTAGCTGGTGTGTGGAATGCTCCATAATTAGGTGTTGATTTTATACACATTTTAACTTGACAGGAAAGTACAAAATTACTATTATAAAAATATTAAAAATATATTTTTTGGACATAATCATTTTTAAAATGTAAATATTTATAGTGCGCTGTACAAGGACAATTATTCTAATAAATCTGAAGTAACCATTATGATAGGGAAATAAGTAATATAATAAAAATTAAAAACCATGAAACCAAACTACAACACAGAGCGTTTCCCGTTTGACGGCAGAAAAATCTACCGGCTGTCGCTAGATTTTTAAAAGCCGCACTAAGTAAGAACAATTATTAAACAAATCATTCTTAATAATTACTTCTGAAATAACTATTACCTCTGAAGGGCACTATATAGGTATCTGGTACCCGTCAAAATCCCAAAAGATCAAATCTAAATTGGGTTACAACTAAAATCCATAATTATATCGACTATCACCTACTATAAGTGCGTAGACCACCAGCTAACAGACATAATTTAAACCCTTGATCGAGGCCTTAGGAGAGAACTTGAGGTCTCATGGGTAAAAATACAAAATTTGACTTGTCTGTTGGATTATGGACACCCCGTATGTAGTTACTAGCAGACGGACTGCTACGTGCAACAATCCGTGGTAATTTTCGTCGTAGACCCCAAGCTTGTTCGATTATATTAACATTCACAAAACGTAATACCTATGTATAGCTATTCTAAAAAATGTTTGTGAAAAATAAATATCTTTCCATTTGTTTTATAAATTAAAATAAATAATAGTACAGGTAAGACGACATCAAATTAAATTATAATATTATTAAAACTAGATAATAGTTGTGTTTAAATTATTAACGTACTAACAAAAGTAAAAAACAAAATAATAACATATAACAATATTTGTATGCTTTTGTTATGCGTTTTTAACCATTGTATAAATTATTTCGCTGTACTATTGAGGTCCTAATATTATTTATTTTTAATTACTTATTCAGGCAACTCTTTCAAATAACTAATCGGATAAATAATATATATTTCTTGCGATTTTATCATCATCTTTAATAAAAACCACAACCTTTAAATAATAGAAAATAAATTTGAACGGCCCAACAATTATAGTTGTATCATAAAATATGTATAATGTAATAAATTGTTACCAGTTCTTATAGAATGGATATCAACATCTATAAAAATATTATACACATATATATATATGTTTATATACCGATAAATATTCAACTCCGTAAGACTCCAAACAACTGTTTTTGCAATAGGAAGTCAATCTGATTTTTTACACACACGTCCTGATAATTATAAACGAAATTGAGAATATGTAATGTTGGTGCTAATAGAGTACAAAGATTACAAGAAAAAAATTCTGACCGAAATAAATGGGTTCCTAATATTTAATAACAATCCAGCTGTAAATAAAGAAAAAAAAACAGCGCAAGTAAAAAATGAATACATCATAATTATGATTATTATATCAAACAAATGTATGATGGTCAACAATTCATATTATTATTGATAAAGTTGAAGCGATTTTTCACTTAATTAACCTCAGTGTTTATTAACATTGTATATGATTCAAAGTGATTTAAATTTCAATAATACCTATATTTTTCGCCACCCCTTTAAATGAAAATATTATTTTACTTACCTATTTCTGAACACGTTTGACATTGCTATCAGTGATGATCTTCGGGATGTACGTGCTATTCTGGAGCCCAGCGATTACCACAGCGACTTTGCAGCGCAACATCTTAGCCCCAGAATGGATCGGCAAGTTTACAGATGAAGAACAGACGGGTGTTCCTAAGCATGTGCTAGCTATGCAGGATAGATATTTTTACCCGGTCAGACAAATGATTCAAAAAATGTTGATATCGCCGAGTAGGCAGAACCGGGCTCGAAAGAATCGGGTAAGCGTGTGGATAAAAATTACTTTACAGGAACTAAAAATTATTATTTATTTTTCGTTTTTCAGAAAACTCAAAAAGCCATTTTAAAGTCTACCGAATTCCCGTGTGACAGAAACGGCACTAGATCTTTAACGAGACCAACTAGCGTGCACCAGCTGAGACCTGGAGATATAGATATCATAGGCAGCGTTGGTGACTCCCTAACGGTGGGACTTGGAAGTTTCTCGAATAACATATTTGAAATACTGGTCGAGCATCGAGGAGTCTCGTGGACAGCTGGTAATTTTTTGATAATAGTTTAATTTTTAATTACAAAGAGTACACTTTTTGTTTTAAAAAAATGTATAAATTATTGATAATATATTTCTTCAATTCGAACTGTTTTCAGGAGGAGATGGTACATGGAGAGAATATTTAACTTTGCCAAATATTTTGAAAGTATTCAATCCCAAGCTATTTGGTTATGCATACGGAGATTCGTTAGCTGAAGAACGCGGTTCCCAGTTTAACGTGGGCGAAAATGGGGCTCTTAGTCAAGATTTATTTTTCATGACGCGAGAAGTAGTTAAGAGGGTCAAAAACGATAAACGAGTAAATTTAACTGAACACTGGAAGGTATAATATAATTATCCAAAATTTAATAATTTATTAAATCAAATTAGACCGAAATACATCAGTTATGTATAATATATATGTATATATGTTTATCTATGGTTTTTCGCTTCTTAATAGTTAATCACAATAATGATGGGCTCTAATACGTTTTGTTTACAACTGTGTTATGAAGATAATACAAAATTGATAAAAATACACAAAGATAAGCTTTACAACTCAATTGCTCATATAAAAAGTAATCTTCCAAGGACTATGGTCAATATCGTTATGAGTCCACGTGAGTAATACTATAACAGATACGCTATGTGAAATTGTTAAGTGTAATGTTAATGGGGATAAGAAGTAGACAAACCTATGGACACATAAGTACATTATTTTTCGATTTAACTTTAATTTTTAACACCCCCATCTTTCCCTCTCATAAATAAGCACATCTGCTCCGAGTTAGGAACCTTACGTCTGTTCTAATAACTTTGATTTTTTTTTTAATGTGTCCTAAATATTGTCAAGCTTTTGCGGACCGTTCTTAATTTTGGAGTTAGGTCTTACCCAACTTTTTACTCAAAACTCAAAAAGTATGCATTCAAGTTAAATTTATTTTAATAATTATTTTAAAATGTAATAAACATATCAAGGAAAAATAATAATAATAATAATCCACTGTGTTTTTGTTTATTGCATTAAGCACATGAAAAATTAACGACAATACTTTATCCAATAACTTTAAAAGTAAGTTCGGTCTATAAAAGCAAAGACACGATAAGAAAGAATCGTCGTTATAAGCATAGCAAATACATATTCTTAAAGAGTAAATTAAAAATAAATCTATACCGTAAAAATATATTTTACAATACGTCTTATCATATTTTGTTGTATTATTTTTGGGAGCTATTTTGGAAAATTAGTTTTAAAATTATGACAGATACCGATGTATATTTTTTTTATAACAGCTTGTACTAAGTTTAATGAATACATTTTTTTTAAATATTTTATTTTTATTTATAATTTTTTTACAAGATTTGGAACTTATAACCAATTTTACGAGAAAGCCAATGTTTTGCGAATTCTTCAACATAATGGAATGTCCCTGTTTATTTGCTAGACAGTACAAGAATCGACTGCCAGAATTTGTGAAAACTATGTATTTATTTCAACAAGTCGAAAAGGAAATAGTAAGATAATTTTGTTATTACTTTACCAACTATTTTACTGATTATATTTTAATTCGAACAAACCAATTTCTGGATACGTATAAAGGAAAAATATATTTCAAATAATTAAACACTTTATAGATTTATTTTTTACACAGAAACTGTACAAGATAGATTTTGTCCAATGATAAACAAATAAAATTGATAAAAGTTAGACTCAGGCGGTAACTTTAATGGATAACATCGAATTGAGTCCATCCTACTTTTAGTTATTTGAATTGAGTCCAGTTTATTATCTAAATATGTTTGAATTGATTACGTAGATAAGATCGTAAGCATAGTCTCTTTTGCTATAACTAGTAGGGAATTTGGACGGACTATATTGAATTGAGTCCCAAATAATGGTGTTGGTAAAGTAAAGCTGGTGGCGAAAAATTCAGAAGTTTGGTCTGTCTAAGAAATATAAGTCTAATTCTGAAAAAAGTAGATATCTCAAGTACTTTTTCGGATTGCCATTTTTAAACGAAAATAACGTAGTTGAATATTTCACGAAGATCGATGATGAACCATGTGATGATGATAAAATTGACTGCTTCACAGATTACATTTTAGATAATTGACAATTTTACATTGACAATGAAGTTAGACAGTTTCCCCCCAAAATTTGGTGTGATTTTTCAGCAAGCACTAATCGGACAACTAACAGTTGTGAAAGTTTTCATGCAAAATTAAATGCATTGTTTCACTCAGGACATCCGAATATTTTTATTCTTGTTGACACTCTTCTGGGCATACAGTCAGATACCTACATAAAAATACGAAGCAATGCAACAAAACCATGTAAAAAAACATTGGAAAAAGAACAATTTTTACGGGAGCAGATTATCAAATATCAAAATAAAAAATTAGCAGATTTGACTATTTGAAATCAGTTTCATTGAAATTTTTACCAGCAACTATTTAAATTTCGACATTATTTTAATTATCTTTAAAAATTATTAAAATTGAAAGTTTTTATTTGACCATTTATAAACAGTGTAAGCAAGCACACACATTTTTGGGAGACTAATCAGCCAACCTCCCGTGGTGTCTCCTGAATAACGCTAATAGGCTGAAGGGACTCAACTCAAACAACCAAAAAATATTTGTTGGACTCAATTCCGACAACCAAAAAATATTCGTGGGACTCAATTCAATATCACCGACTTTAATAAGCTTGAACAAATTGAACAAGTGAACAATTAATTACATACTGTTGCTATAGGTTTTTATATTAGTTAAGTGAAAAAAAAAATTAAGTATGTCCCTCGTTTTTGTTATAAACAAGTATTAACGTCAATAAAACAAAGAAACTAAGTGCTAAATATTTTTAGGAAAAATAGTTGCCTAAATAATTAGTAATCACAAAATATTCTCCACGTGACACAATCATTAAAATACAGATTAATAGTTTGTAATAATTAATAAAATTAGAACTGTATACCAGCATTAGTTATAACAAATGTATAATATAATATAAAATATTATTGAACACTTCATATTTTATAATTCTTACTTCATATTTATAATCGTTTTTGTCACTCGAATAATGAGCAAAAAAATCGTTTTATTCAATTAGGTACAAATGGAAGAGTTTAAAAACACAGAAGATTTCACAGTTACTCTTCAGACGTTCACCGAACATCTTGTATTTCCATTAACTCGTTTCAATCATACAGATTATTCGTATTTATCAGCAGACTGTTTCCATTTTAGCCAAAAAGGCTATGCGAGAGGTACGTCAAATATTGATACAGAATTAACAGGTTTAAGTATTGAACTATTAAATTGATAAAATCAATTTAATTTCCATTAAATTATTGAATGCAAAACCTAACGGTAATTATTGGTTTGCTAATAATGATTAATTTTTGTTTTATTTTATCTAATTTTAAATAAGGCAACAAATATTGGATTTTTTTTTTAATTGATTCGGTAAAACTAATGCCTATTGTGTATTTTTTTAATTTGGTTTTATTTTTTAGCTGCTAATGCATTGTGGAATAATATTATGGAACCGGTAGGCCGAAAATCGACAAACTGGATTCAAGAATTTGACCGGTTTAATTGTCCAACAGCCGAATCACCTTTCATTCCCACGTGGAAAAATAGTGAAACAATATGATCTCTTTGATACCAATTTATTTGTAGTTCTAAATAACTAGTTATTACTTATTTTATGTTATTAAAACTTATGGACAAAAAAAAATGGTACTTACCTACTAACATATTTAAAAGGTCTATTACTCTGTGATCAGTGATGACCAGGCCTAACGTAATCTACGAGCAAATTGAAAGCTCACTAGATAAGTATGGTAGGTACCTATGTTATGGACAACGGTTGCAGAAATATTAATTAATTATGCAAGGTGCTCCTGTCCAAACGGTTTCATTGCGTTAAAATTTTTAAGGGTGTTAAATTAAGAGAACTGAAGGAAGTAAATAACTTGAACAAGAAATGGTAATCTTCTCCATTGAAACATGAACGACTGATAAAATGAATAATTATTTGTTTAAACTGTAAATCTTCACGCCAGTACAACTGATCGTGAATTATTATGTTTTATTTTACCATATATTTGTTTTTAACGAGTTAATAAAAGTCTATTTTTGTTTTTTTAAATACTATTCATTAAATTGCCGTTGTAGTTTTGATCTCTATACATTTGTTTTGTCTTCAAACCTTAAAAATGTCTGCATCCAAAATAACATCTTATGGTCTAAATACAGTTTTTACTAAATACATTTATTTAAAATCTTCATGCAAAAAACAACTACTGCTATCGTCTGGATAAAAATATAACGATAATAGTTGAAACATATTTGAAATAATCAACAGTAGATGGCGTATGAAACGTAAACAACACGTTCTTCATTAATCAAAATTTTAATTAAAACTAAGTATTAAATATCAAATGTATGAATATGAATGTTTTTATTTTTAATGTTATCAAGATAATATAAAAATCTGTCTCCAAATTTTAAATCCTTAAATAATATTATAATGACACGATTTGTATTGTATTATTTTTATACATTGTTTTATTGATTAGTATATTTTATAAAAAGTTGTCTGTATAGTATGTTGAAATCTGGGCATTAACAATTTATTTTTCATTGAAATAAAAATATAGTTATTAAAAAAAAAATGAGTTTAAATAAAATAATACAATTTGATTTTAAATTGAACACATACCAAATAATAATTTAAAATACATTTTTAATTGAATTATTTTTTTTTTTTTTGCTTAATAAACAGAAACATTGAAGCTACACAAATCAATTAAAATATCAGGTTATACGTAGCAATCGAATAAAAATATATTTAAATAAAATTGTATTAATAAATTATTTCTGATATTTTATTTTTTTAATTATTATTTGTTAAAGTAAAAATTACTTAGTTTGATATGCACATAAGTAAAGATGTATAAATTAGAATAAATGTTGTCAATTTTTCATGTGTCCAAAAAGGAATAGGTATTATAATATTGTTATTATAAATTGAGTGGTAATAATTTTATTAGCTAGATAATTTTTTAAAGTAGGACTAACAAGTCAAGCTAAAACTAAAGATAAAAAATTATTGTACAAAATTAGAACTCCCTTTTAAGTTATTGTTTGAAAAGAACAGTATAAATGTGCCTTCATTCCAACATATATCTACAGGGACTAGAAACGAACCGAAAACAATTATTTCACACAACTGACAGAGAATAGTTTTTTTAACTGTAATTTAATACTTAGAACAACTAAATTGGTCTATTTGCATACATCTTAAAAATATAAAACTTACAAAGTATGTAGAAAATATATTATCACAATTTTAGTCATAGCCTTTAATGACTAGTATTATGTGTCGTATCTAGTATTATTGTTTTATTTATAATGTATTATCTGCTCTAATGAGGGTTTTGATAAAAAAAACTCCTTATATCATATATTATATTATTACATTAACCCCCCCCCCCCCACTCAACTCAACCCAATGAACTTAAAAATTAATATATGTACACAGTGCATTTATCGACCAATAAAAGATGGCTAGTTATTCGTGAATAAAATTATTTGTAACTCAATAAATACCTAACCGGTATAACATAGGAAGTCAGCAAAACTACCCCCCATATGCTTAATGTTCATAGTTGAGAAGTAATCAAATTTGGACTTTCGGCATGCTAGCCGGAACTTCCCTTAACTTTCCAACTTCCCGTTACTATTAGGGAGTTTATTCGTTGTTTATAGATAAAAACTTTTTTCAGATAATTTAAAATTTATTTTAAATACATGATAAATAAAAAAAATATATATTAATTTGTAAATAAAAAATAAAATGTGTTTACAAATAAAAATAACAAATAACTTTATGATAAATAAATAAAAGACAATTTTTTATTTAACGTTTCAACTCGATAACGTATTATTCAAAAATTGCCTAGCTATGATTGTTCATCACATAACCTAGTCCTTCCATATGAGGAGATGCGACGGCCAGTAATTTAAAACAAGCTTGTAATGGTAAATTATTGAAGCCTCGAGCCATAGACTTGGAACTAGTATCATGAAAAAAATCATCAGATCTCTGTAATTAATTAACAATGTGTTTATCATTGAGTTTTTAAAGTGAGTAAGTTAACTCTTGTTACCACTACCTACCGTGATTGGAAGTGGATGACGGAAATGTCATTAATCTTACATGATCCGTGAATATGTTGAAGGACTATATATTGTCTTATTCATATTTTTATATCTATAATCGTCGTCAGTAGCCAAAAAATTACTGAACACAGTTGCAAGAAATTACAGGAAATTGCTTATTGTTTTCAGTTGTTCAAAATAAGGAAGTTGTCTTCGTTAAAAGGTTAGTTTAGTTAATAAAAATTATCTCGGTTTAAAAATGTTCCTGTAGCCAAACAATCTTTGTCGCCCATAATTTATCTTTAATGACTTTAGATGATGGTCGCCACGACGTACTTAATACTTTGGTGCACCACGGTGACCATAGCGACATTGCAGCGCAACATATTGGCACCAGGATGGATGATGAAGTTTACAGATGAAAACCAAACGGGTGTTCCTAAGCATGTACTAGCTATGCAGGATAGATATTTTTACCCGGTCAGACAGATCATTCAAAAAGTATTGCTATCGCCGAGTCGGCATGAACGGGCTCGAATGAATCAAGTAAGCGTGTGGATATAAGAAATTTCGCAAAAACTCGAAACTATCATTGTTTTTGTCGTTGTTTTAGAAAACTCAAAAATACATTTTAAAGTCTACGGAATTCCCGTGTAACAAGAACGGCACTAGATCTTTAACGAGACCATCTAGCGTGCACCAGCTGAGACCAGGAGATATAGATATCATAGGCAGCGTTGGTGACTCCCTGACGGTGGGACTTGGGAGCTTCTCGAGTTATGCATTCGAATTACCGGTCGAACATCGTGGAGTATCGTGGACGGCCGGTAACTGTTTTTTTAATAGCTTCATTTCTAAATGCAAAAATAACTATGAACAATGAACGTACTTCTTAAATTGCGAATTGTTCTCAGGCGGAGACGGCACGTGGAGAGAATATTTAACACTGCCAAATATTTTGAAAGAATTCAATCCCAAATTATTTGGTTACGCTTACGGTGATGCGTTAGCCGAACAACGTGGATCACAATTCAATGTTGCCGAGAACGCTGCTCTCAGTCAGGACTTATTTTTCATGACGCGAGAACTAGTGAAAAGAATCAAAAACGACAAACGAGTTAATTTAACCGAACACTGGAAGGTAATTTAATTTGACATAGCAATAATAAATTATTAAATCGGACCAAGTGCATACACGAATTGTTTTTATTACTTTTTTCAACAGTTAATAACAATATTGATGGGCTCAAATACATTCTGTTTGCAATTGTGTTACGAAGATAATGTAAAATTAATTAATTTGCACAAAAACAAACTTTACAGCTCGATATTTTATATTAAACAAAATCTTCCAAGAACAATAATAAATCTCGTTTTAAGCCCAAGTAAGTTAAACATAAAATTACAGTACGTATAACATTATCTTAGTACTAGAACACATTGAACAATAATGGTAATTATTACCTGTATTCAACCAAAAAATATGAACTGTTATTTAAACTGGGTTTTTCCACGAAAAATATTTTATTTTTAAGTTTAGGAGTGTCTTATGTAACTAACTTGTTTAACAGAATTCTCTATAGATGTACGGTGTGACTAGATTAAATAGAATACGAATCCCCCCCCCCACCCCGCCAAATAAACAAAGCTCGTGTTTAAGATGAGTCTGGCACATTATTTGATCTCATGTATTTAAATTTTTGTATTCGTATATCCCTATGTAAGTATTTGTGTTGTTTAGTATTTGTATAGTCTTAATGTTTTACATTGAAGGCATTTTTCTAATTTGGAGTGTATTAAAAACCAAAAATTATTTTTTCATTTTTTTACCCAGAAATGTGACATTCTTATTGTCTTTACAATTAAAATAATATGTAAAATTAAATAAAATGCATGTTTCTAGTATAAAAATTAATATTCATTTTTGGATATCTTATAATTTATTAAAAATGTTATGAAAATTATCTAATTTCATTGTGATGTATTACTTTTCTAATGTTTCTTTTGGATTTAAAAAGTACATAATACTCCAACTTTAATTAATTAAAGTTATTGTGATTATAGGTTTGGAAATTTTAACGAAATTATCGGAAAAGCCAAATGTTTGCAATTTTCTTAACAAAATGGAATGTCCTTGTTTTTTCGCTAGACAATATAAGCATCGACAAACAGATTTTATCAAAACGATGGCTGAATTCCAAAAAGTAGAAAAAGAAATTGTAAGTTAGTTCAATTTTTTTTTAACCCATAACTTTTGTTTTCACATCAACACAACAATTATATATTTTTGAAATATTTTCAAACATTTAAATAAATATTATGTTTATAACCAATATTTGCCGCTAAAGCTCAATAAACTTTTAAAAATTATAATTTGTATAAATTGTTATGTTAGCTGGTAAATATTATTTTTTAAATAAAGTATTTATAAAAAATAATTTGGAAATTTATTACATTTTATCAGTAAATATTTTTAAAAAGTGGTTTTAATTTAATTTAATTAAACAGGTAAAATTGGAAGAATTTAAAAATAGTGATAATTTCACAGTTACCTTGCAGACTTTTACTGAAAAAAGTGTCGTTCCGTTAAATCGATTTAACAAATCTGATTTAACATATCTATCAGCAGACTGCTTTCATTTGAGTCAAAAAGGATATGCACTAGGTATGGTTATACACAGACATACCTAACTCCATTCATCTGTTTCTACTTGGACATTTTGTATAATGTATGTAATCAATAATGTATACTTGGATTTAATTTTTAGCTGCTAATGCACTGTGGAATAACATGATGGAACCCGTAGAAAATAAATCATCAAATTGGATTAAAGAATTTGACAGGTTTAATTGTCCTACAGCCGAATCACCTTACATCTCCACTTGGAAAAATAGTCAAATAACTGTATCATCTTGATATTAATTAGCTGTATAAACATATGTATTTTGTGTAGTATACATTTTTCTAAATAATTGATTTATAATTACTATTTATTATACTATCATTGTGATCATTACTACTATAGTTTGTACTTCTGTAAAATAAATGTAAGTACCTATTTAAGTTTAAATATTGTTACGGAAGAAAATATGTTGGTTTTTTTAAAACAATAAAAATGAAATTACACTCGAAGTTTATAAGTCACAGCATATAATTCAGTACAAATATCAAAAATGGCATAACGGTTTTAAGTGCATTTTTTACTAATACTATCAAAGGAAGTAATAATATAAGTGTCTATCTGAACAAAATATAATGGTACTAGAAAACCTAATAAATCAAAGATTTATTGTTTACTACTGACGTATGTACTTATAAATATGTAGGTAATGATTAATATAATATATTAAGTAAAATTTACGATTTTATTTTTGGTAACGTGTGATGAGTAGTTGTATTTCTCTAGTTGTATCTACTAATCTCTTAAAACTATGTCGTTGTGTCTTAATAAATTAAGGTGAAGGTCTTCAACCGACGTCCTTTCCGTGTACACGACACTTTAATTGCGGCGCTACTAAATACATAAAGTACAATAACTGGTTTATGTAATACATTTAAATTTTTACTTACTATTATGTGAAAGTAGGTACTATCATATTTACTGTAATGTTTTAGTACCTGTAATGATAAGTCTGAAATATAATATTATACTTTAAAATGTGTGTACGCAAGACTACAATCGTTTTCACTTCTCTGTTAAACGCACACAAAACATATTTACTGTCTACAATAAATCAACAGTTTCTTGTATTTCTGTGTTTCAATGTAAGTAAATTAAACATGCATAATTCATGTGTCCTTTTTTGGCAACGTGATCGAGATTTGTTTGAAATTTTGACTAGTCGACAACCAGTTTTGGATAATTATTCTTAAAATTATTTTAGTTTAAAGTTTAGGATCCTAACCTAACCTAAATGTTTGTGAAACATAAGATTACATTGTATAAAACCATGACGGAACAAATCAATGACTGATTAATCATTAACCTCCTAGTTATGGAACACAAAAGTTGTAAGAAAAAAATAAAAACATTTTATAGAAAAAAAAAAACTTAGGAAATAACCTTCTATATACAACACAATTTTACATGTACAGATTTTCTTATTAACCCTGAGTTAAAAGACATATCCATGTCAAAATTTGTTGAAATCAGTTCGATAGACACTTCAGACAGTGAACTCGGCATTCGCGTTATAGTCTTCATTTGTAAAACAATTGACGCTTTCCGTTCCCCTAACAAAAAAAAAATACTAGTCATCCTTAAATTAACACAAGTTTTTCGGTAATATTAAATATACCCATAAAAAAGACGGTAAAATTTGTATCTCATTTTTTTTTTGGTGGGCCTGTAAAAATTGGAATTTTTGATTTCTTAATCAAGATGAAATCTAGCGATGACCTTGACATGGCCAATGCAACTTTTTGGGTGCTCTTCAATTAAAGTCAAACTAAATTTTGACTGTCCCTGTCGTCGCGTAAACGTTCCGTTCTCATAAAAAGTGATAAGTAGGTAAACCAACAAACGTACACTATAATATTATACCGTATAGGTAGGTAACAAAAAAATAATTTTATTCCTATTATTGTGTAATGGCACCGTTTATAGGTTCTGTATGTTTTAACAGCAAAGCCGTTCGAGGCAAGGGCAGTGAACCGAACTTGAATTGTGCGAGATTCCAATTACATATTCAAATCTTAATGGTCGGGCCCGCTTGTTATCATCACCACAATAATATCACAATTCAGTGTCTCGCGAAACATGGCAGCCGGAGAAGTACAAGGAAGACCAAAAATTATATTTCTATTCAGCGGTAAACGGAAATCTGGAAAAGATTACATAACGGACACGATTTACAATAGGTAATTTTTGATTTACACATTTATTCTTTCCGTACGATTAAATAATTATTAAGTGCCAAAACGTATTGCATGAATTTGATAAATTATTGTGGTGGAAAGAATCACGATAACAAAATATTATCAATCCGTATTTTAGCCAGCCGCATCTGTGTTTAACATCAGTGTATCCATTTGACTATATTGTTATTTCGTTGTATCGGTTTTAAATTCGGTTCTCGCATACGATTGTCGTAAAAAAAATTAATTTTAAGCATTTGAATAAAAGTTGTATTCAACATTAAAATAAAGTCAAACACAATTAATTATCTGCTTAAGACTTAAATTTCAGTGAAAAAAAAGTTATAACTTTTATCTCATTTATTGTTAGGTTATGTTATAACTTCCATATTTTTGTTAAAATGATAATGGGAGTACAATACAGAATTGTGCGATACTGTTCAAACATGAAGAGTTAATACATTATTTTATATTGTACAATTTATTCAAGTAATTTAAGAAGTGTGTTATTATTTAAAAACGTATTTTATTTCTTTTTGAACCTTACCGAATGTATTAACGGTAAAAAATAAATATGTTTTATAACAAAGCATTGAGATTGGTAAGCAAAACCATTCAAACCGTGTCACTTGGGCAATTGTCCATTCCAAAACCAACGGTTCGTACTTATGCTGCTCTAGTAAGCCAAGAATATGTCGTTGAAGATAAAGCAGGAGAAACAAAATTTACTACCGAAATAATAAAAAATGTAAATGAAGCCGTTAAAAAGGCTAATCGTTTATTCGCTGTAGTACATATTTGTGGTAAACAGTTTAAAGTTACCGATAATGATCTAGTGTTGATAGATGGTTATTGGCCACCAAATGTCGGCGATCGTATCAAACTCCAAAAAGTATTACTTGCTGGAGGTGTGGATTTTACGCTGATCGGTACACCCACCTTAGACCCAGACTCGGTCAATGTTACTGCTACAGTTGTCGACAAGGATCTATCACATACCCGAACAAATTTCAAACGTTTGAAGCGCAAGCAATATATGAGAATTAACTTTATCCGAAAAGAAATCACTATTCTTCGAATAAATAGTGTAAATATAACACAAGCAATTGGCGATAGAAAGGACGTACAATCGATGGGCAGACGCTCAATGTAATGAGTTAATAAGCATTAGAGTCTGTTAACGATTTATAACTTGTATTTAAATGTAGTTTTCATATTATTTAACTTGTTAAGTCTTAATTAATAAGTATAATAAAATATTAATGTTTGTTAAAGTTGTGTATTTAATATTATGGTATAATTTGTATTATCCAAGTAAAACGTTTCCTAATAATGGTTAACTGTAGGTATACTTAAATGGATTATTAAAAACAAAGTTTTTTAAAATGCAAAAATTACAAGCTTTGTGCCGACCTCAAAGGCTGTTACCTATATTGTTATTACTTTACACTTATAACATTATGTAATAAGTAAAGCTCGGATGTTTATAACTTAGCAGTTTGGATACTTTTTTAGTGAAATCAGAATTATACCTTAATACGATATTATTTTAGTTCACAAAGACTAGATTTCAAATCAACAAACTTATACTACATGTATTTATATATTTTACTTTTTTGAGCATATATTTGTTTATAATGATTATTTTTAGATAGCATAATATCTATTAGTATAATTATTACAAATGTTTTATTTTTTTAATAATTGTGCTTATTGACATTCTGGTTATAAAATATTTTACAAAATGTCTAAAATAATCTTCCTTGTTCTTTTAAATTTGAAAACATCATCAAAATAATTGTCATTCAATTTTCTTCTGATACGTAAAATACTTTGTTAAATAATCAACCCGTTATGACTTTTATAAAATGTTATGTTTATTATGTTAAGTTGGCTTTATAAAAATTGGGTTAAATTTATTTAGCGAATTTAATAAAAGCATATTTTGACATTTCAAAATGCGTATTTTACTACATTTGTTGTCATTAATATGCGAGCTCTAGTAACTATAAATTATAATATAATTATAAGTTTTAACTGTATTGTTAAAAGAACAAATATCAGAAAAAAAGTATAGTTTTAAAATAAAAAAAATAGCCACCAGTGTATTGTTTCAGGTATTAAACCGTGGTTAATGGTATTGTCAACATATTTTGTTGTGTCCAAAATGATAACACCGGTAGTTTATCAATAATTCATTTTTGTCTTGTCAAATGTCAATTTCTTTTTAAACTATGTGGACAGATTTCTGGCGTCTTAAAAATTGAGTTGTAGTATATACTTAATATAATTTAAATATCAATGTCTTCAGCAACTTTTGGTCAAAAATCATTCCAACCTACGCCACCAGAAAAAGGCAGTTTTCCATTGGATCACGAAGGTCAATGCAAAAAAACGGCTTATAAGTACATGTTTTGTCTGAGTGTCAATAACGGAGATAACTCCAAGTGTCGCATTCAAGCTAAAGACTACTTGGACTGCCGCATGCATCATGATTTGATGGCCAAAGAAGAGTGGTCTAAACTTGGATTATCAGATGTCGATAATAAACCTGAATAACTATGCCTCATGTACTTATTGCTTGTAGCGCTAGCGTTGCTGCAATCAAAATTCCAGCTATTATTTCTGAACTAACAAAAAAAAATATACGTACAACTTTAGTCGTCTCAGAACAAAGTAAACATTTTATAGATATAGAGAAAATAAAAAAAGATTACCAAATTGATGTATTTACCGACCAAGATGAGTGGAACACTTGGAATGGAAGAGGAGACCCAGTATTGCATATTGAACTCTCCAAAAATGCTGATTTACTTGTACTTGCTCCGTTAAGTGCTAATACCATGGCTAAAATTAACTCAGGTATATGTGACAACTTACTTACATGCATAGTTAGAGCTTGGAATGTTTCAAAACCAGTTTTATTTTGTCCGGCTATGAATACTCAAATGTGGAATCATCCTATAACCAAAGTTCAAGTCGATAAACTAGTCTCATGGGGATATTGTCAAATTCCTCCAATTGTCAAAACGTTGATGTGTGGCGATCATGGTGTTGGTGCAATGGCTGAAGTAGAAACTATTGTTACACAAATTTTAAAAGAATTAAACTTAAGCAATTTTTAAAATTATTTATAGTATAAGTTTTCATGATACATAGTTAATTTTTTTGTAATAAAGATATTCAGAATGTTTGAATCTTGTATGATTATTTTATTTCAATTAATTGATACTTTTATAAATCAATTTAATAAACAATAATTGCAGAATAGGTTTGGAGAAATGTGTTATAATACGTCTCTCGGGTCCTATAAAAAAACATTGGGCCCAAGCTAAATCCCTACAGTTTGATGAACTACTCAGTGATGGTCAAATGAAGGAACAATATAGAAAAGCCATGATTGATTGGAGTGATGAAATCCGTTCCAAAGATCCAAGTTACTTCTGCCGCTTGGCAGTTGAAATGTATGATCCAAGTTAGTATTATGGATATTTCCTATACTTTCTACCACAACTACTAGTAGTAGTTTTTTATAATAATGACAATTTTACAGACCACACCAAAGATATTTGGGTTATAAGTGATGCCAGAAGAAAGACAGACATTGCTTGGTTTAAATCAAACTTTAGTAATGTAAAAACGATCAGAATCGAGGCAAAAGAATGTACAAGAAAGAAAAGAGGGTGGAATTATTCACTAGGTATAATATTTTGAATACTTATATTTTTATTAAAATAACCACATCTTCATTTTATTGCAGGCGTAGATGACATTTCGTCAGAATGTGATTTAGATCAAGTAACTGACTGGAATTGGATAATACAAAATGATAAAGATGATGACTGTCGCTGTTGTGTTGATGAAATTGTAAATTATGCCCAAAGAATTTAAAATTCATCTAGATAATCCTTTACAAAAATGTTAATTCCATTTGCTAAACTCGTCTATTTTTGATAATCACAAGTTAAATTTATATATATTTATTCATTTTTTTTTTTTAAGTATGTTATTTTTGTTTATTAATAATATACATTCTTGATTTAAAATAAGAATTTATTTATATTTTCAAGTGTTATATGTGTATCAGTATTGAAAAAGGGCTTATTTTGTATTATTCAAAATGTATTTTCCAATTCTGGTACACAACTAATACAAAATATAGTAGAAAGTAAAATATAATTGAAGTGCACAAACCAAAACGGTTTAACCCCTAAAAGTTAAAACTCACTTTTAGTTGAAATAATCAGTTTTAAAATTAAAATCCTAAAACATTGATGACTTAAAAATTATTGAAGTAAAATTAGCCAACTCTCAAAAAGTATGAATAGGTACACTCGGTTACTTGTGTAGAATAAAACTAAATTAGTTTCTTTTGAGTTATAGTAGTCTAACCTATTTATGCGTTAACCTGTTTTAGATCTATGATTACATTTTTTTATATCTATTAATCAATATTTTTCTGAAAACTTCAAAATGAAAATAGACAAAATTGATAATTTTCTGAATGAAAGAAACGAAACAGTTAAAAATATATTTAGATTTAATGATTATATTAATCTTTTAGTCCAAAACACTTTATATAATAGTTCAACACAACATAACCAGCAAATATCTCGCACTTTTATATTATTGTTTGAATATTATGATACAGCTGTTGAGTTATATTAACAATGCTATAGTTATTCGTACAACTTTTCTTAATTATAAAAGTACTAGATTTCATATTTTTAGTGTATTGCCACCTATATAATATAATGTAAATATTATAAAATATATTTAACGAGGCAAATGGTTATCAATATATGACATTTTGTAAAAATATATACAAATAAAATAAAATGTTCCTATTTGGTGAAATTTCCCAAGTTATAAAGTATTATTATTTAGGGCTTTTGTACTCTTTATTAAAATGATATCATCTTGTTCATTTTAATTTATATAATATAGCCGTATTATTGTCATATACGCTCTTTCGTACACGAAATGTTAAAAAAACACACACACACACACACTGTAAATAAAATTGCTTAATACCTTTTACTTGACAACTAAGGTGCCTTTAATAAGTGGTGTGGAAAGGTGGCAGAGCTCTAGTCGCATCTTCCGGATTGGTCCTGCCTCAGGTGCTTTATCCCAACATCAGGCCTCTGATTATAAATAGTAATGCCTCGGTACAATTATATTGTTAAGCTATATTACTATAATAAACGGGTTAATAGCCTAAACGCAAGTACTAACACTAGCAAAGAACCGTACTTTGGCTTCCTACGATATTTATTATCGTACCTACACTTATTTGTTGAAGGATACTTGGTTTTTATTAACTTTTAAAGTAAGAGAAAAAGGTAACACTTTTAAAATTAAGTAAAAGAAAAGCAACTGAAATGAGTAAACACACAAAAAGATATAATGTTTATAAAAACAATGTAAAATCAAAAGACAACTAATATCACGCGAAAATACTCCCCTCGTAACAGACGGACGTTTACAGGAGAGTGCCACCGACATGTATTTTGGGCGGCTATAAATAATAAGCATGATTGTAATTTTTGTTGTGTTGAAAATTTTGTTTAGTTTTGTTTTGGCTGTTTGGCCTACATTTTATTGCTCATTTGCTAACATACATTAGTTTTTAAGAACTACCTATACTACATTATTATTCAATGTATTTAACATTTAAAAAGAATACAAAACAACAGCTTTTAATTTATCCAAAGAAAATTGTGTTCCTAATGAAAAATATATTGTACGAGTTATGATATAATAAGCAACAGAAAAAAATTCAAAATGTAAAATAATGATGTTTATCTTAAAAAATGCGGGAATAGCAGAAGTAAACTTTTATATCAGTATCAAGAATAATACAAAATTGTGACATTTTCTCTCTTTATTATTGGAAATTAAATAAACCATAATAATATGTATTTAATATAGTACACATTATCATTGTATAATCAAAAACAGAAATATGTTATTATTATTAAATTACCAAAATTTAAAAAGTCGCGCGCTAATGTATGTAATATTTTACTCCTTCAATTTCCATGTCTACGTTTTAAGTGATGGATCAATAGGGATAACACAGTTACCACGAATGTTGCGTGCTACGATGTTATGTTACTCCGACATTTTTGTTACGAATGACAATTGCTACGACGACAATTGACACGAATACATTTACAACGAAAATATGTTTTCGCTTTTATTTTTTATGCCACGATTTACAGTTACATCAAAGTTCCATTTTTAATTATTGCTTCGAATTACATTTACCTCGAATTCCTGTTACATCGACATGACTTATCAAAAAATCTTAATGTTATGATTTCGCTATTTTATAGGACATTTACATTGATAAACATTATATGGACCTTAAATTCCATTTACACTGACATGACCCAACAAATAATTTATATAAAACTATAAATAATATAATCTGAGTAAAAACAAGTTTAAAATTGTTCAGCAAGATGTAATTCAAAGTTAAAATAACATTAAGGGGACCGCAGCATGTTTTTTATAAAAAAATATTAAGTATAAATATCAAAGAAATTAAAAAAGGCCAACCCATTGATAAAGTGTTTCCCTATACATTGTGAGAATTTAGTAAATCTACCCCTTAAGGGGGTCGGAGCACAACTAGTTTCATGCGTTTTAGCGGTGCTTAATTAGACATACTTCTCAATGTTGGATTTTTAAAGTATGTGTGGATTTGTTGACAAATTGTCTGGGTTTCTTAGGAAGCCCATTTTTGATTTAAAATGTTATGCCTAAAATAAACTCAAATAAACTATCATTGAATTTTCAAAAAAAATAATTTTGGAGATCTTCAAAAGAGAAAATTAAAAATCGCCTTCCTAAAAAACCTTGAAAATTTGTCGAAAAATGCATACATGTATTAAAAATTAAAATCCAACATTGGGAAGTATGTCTAATTAAGCACCGCTAGCAGATGATATTTACCAATATAAAGTTAACAACATTTTTATTTTAACGTTGTAACTTACTTTATTAATAACTAGAATTCAATTGAATTGAATAAATTACCACTACTGTGCTTACCAGTCGTGAGTACATTGGTTGCTGGCTGAAATGTGTGTTACTATGCTGAAACGGCTGCGATAACAACCGTCTCAGACTTCAGTTGTTTTTCAGCTTTTCACGAGCAAACGACATTTTTGTTGGAAATACAGTTTTTGCGTTTCAAGTATTATATCTAATATTCTGAAATATGTGCTCTATGGAGAAGATTTTGTGGGCCGGCGGCGCCGTTCTAACGGTAACTGGCGGCGGTTACCTGCTCTATAAGGTATGCGTATGAACATACATATTGTTTGATGACATGTTCAATGACACACCTTCGACCAGGGCTCGCTGTTTTGTCAGTGTCAGCACAATAGTTATTAGTTTAAATAAAAATTGTTCTCGTGTTCAAGGCCAAAAAGAAATGGTGGGACGCGGCACCGGTAGAACTTGCACCGGTTGAACTTACACCGGCTGAATCCGCACCGGTAGAACCCGCATCGGTAGAACTTGCAACGGCTGAACCCGCACGTAGAACTGCACGGTAGAACCGCATCGGTAGAACTTGAACCTGTAGAACCCGCTCCGGTAGAACTTACATCGGCTGAACCCGCACCGGTACAACTTGCACCTGTAAACCCTGCACCGGTAGAACCCGCATCGGTAGAACTTGAACCTGTAGAACCCGCACCGGTAGAACTTACATCGGCTGAACCCGCACCGGTACAACTTGCACCTGTAAACCCTGCACCGGTAGAACCCGCATCGGTAGAACTTGAACCTGTAGAACCCGCTCCGGTAGAACTTGCACCGGTAGAACCCGCTCCGGTAGAACTTGCACCGGTAGTACCTGCGTGTTACTACCACGACAGATACGGGTCGGCGGCGCACAGATGTCGTCCTCCGTGCGGCTACAGGCCAACTGAGGCAGGACAGCCGGAGCCACCGTGTGTGTACCACAGGCGACACGGCGCGGATGCAGTAAACTGCATACTGCCGTGTGGATTTGCAGGAGTGCAGGAGTACGGCATAGGGGAGCCCGTACCATATTGCATATACCATCGACGGTTCGGTCCGGAGGCGGTGAACTGCCGAGCCCCGTGTGGCTTTAGGGCCATACACTGAGGTAACACATTCATTAGTTTCCACAAAAAGCAACATACTGCAACGCGTTGATAATATTTCTTTGTCAGTCTCCTTTTTTTTTCTCTCTGTTAATATTGAACCCAGGTATATTTAACTTGTTTGACTCTACTGAACTCATATCTACAGACTTTCAGGTGTGGAAAAACGGCCGTACTATCATGTTGGAGACCACTACAATTATTAGTTGTCTACGGCCGCCGTGTTTGAACCCATCACGTTGTTTTTTCTCTCTATCTATTCAAGCTGTCATCCCTGTGGTCGCATTCATTTTGTTGACCGCCGTCTCAGCCATCCTCGCCGTGGCCGTCATTCATGTGGTTGGCCGTCGACTAAGTTTTGTAAATTAATAGTTATTTAAGTTTATGTAGAAAAATTGTCCTGTTTATTACCTTTCTCGTGAAAACCTTAGTGATACTAATACACTTAATTAATGATCACCTAATAAATATGTACTGTGTTAATACGGATGTTATTGTTTAATATGTTAGGGAACTCGGGGCAATTGCCCTGATGTCGAAACACTTAAGCTAAAATATTATGTACTTACTCGAAATAAGTTTACCGACACAAGGGCTTTAAAAACCAAGTCGCTATTTTACTACTTTATCTATTTTACTAGAGCTTCGCTCTAGCTGGGAGCTCCGCCCCCAGGCCCCCGAGTCGGGCGGTTAGGTCACAGATTCCTGGTACTGTACCCGGCTACGCCGGGCACGCTCACGTCCTCTCGCTGCAAAGTATTTTCGGGGAGGTCACAGATTCCGAGGGGGGTGCCCGGCTGCGCCGGCCACGGTATGTGGAAGTCAGTGCACAGCGGTTCCTATGGGGGTGCCCGGTTGCGCCGGCCACGGTGTCGAGCCATCGCAATACGTCTTAAAGGAATGACGTTATAATTCATGGTACCTATAGGCTGTATCTAGTAATCAGAATTCATACCTAGTTATGGACAAATATTTGCAAGCTAAGTACTGATTAAGTGTAGAGTAAGTCTAGCTATGTATCTGTAATTTTTTTAAATTTTGAATTGAAAAGAATAGTCTAGAAGTTAGACGGTTAATAAATATCAAGTGTCCGGTGTTGCTTACTTGGGTTGCTACCACTTTTACCAATTTTTATGAACTAACAATGTCCAGTTCCTTATCAGCGGGCGGAATTCGTATTGAAAACTGATAAGGACGGCAGGTCTCCGAGTGTTTTGGCATTCACTCGCTTCGCCAACTAAAAATATCCTAGGTTTGTAGGCTACAGTCTATGAGGAGGTAACAGGTTTAAAATTAAGTTTAAATTAAAATTTTAAAAAGTTAAAGAGGCTTGATAAGAAGCTGGCCATTGGGAAAAAGTGTACAATGGAAATTGTCTTTGGTAAAAGTTGTTATATTATAGACCACGTCATCAATATAGGCCGGCGTCATCCCGCTTAATTTTATGAGTTGAAAACAGATAAAAATGTCTAGAGGACAGTCAGCTAAATGTCTGTTAAGGTTTACCTTTGTGAAACAAAATTTGTTTAAACGTAGTATGTTATATGTCTGTACACAGCAGTTCCGAGGGGGGTGCCCGGCCACGGCGTCGAGTCAGCTCACTACGTTTTAAAGTATACCGTTATAATTCATCGTACCTTTATCTAGTAATCATAGTTCATACTTAGTTTCGAAAAAGTGTTTTGCAAGCTAAGTACCGGTTAACTGTAGTGCAAGTCTAGCTATCTGTCAGATCAGAAACGTCCTACTACTAAAGCGAGTGTGCTACTTGCTTAAAGGACAATTTTTTTTTTTTTTTTAATTTGAATTGTTTGAGGTGTTGTTTACTTCACGGGCTTGGTAATAGCTATGGTTAAAAATAGAAAGAAATGTTTAGAGGTCAGTCTGTATATGTCTGATATGGTGTTCCTATGTGCAACAAAACTTTTTCAAACGTATACGTTATATGTCTAGATATTGGTTGAATTAAAATTCTTATTTGTTCAGAAATCACCGTCTATGCCATTTTTCGGTAATGACGTACTGTACGTTTAGAATGTAACCAACAGCATAATGCATTAAATATGTATATTAAAGGTCTGGTGGTTTAACAGAAGTTCATAAGTGTTTAAGAATTCAAGAGTAAATCACATGAATGAAATGTCTAGAGTTTATATTAAAACTTAAAAGGGAAAGAATTGAAGAGTGATAAATACATTATTTTAATTTTTGATCGACTATTTGGCAGAGCTTATAAAAATGTCCAAAGAGAGGTTAAATGAAATGTCTCGATGCAAATCTTTTAGTTTTTGGATCTGGATCTTTAATGCTAAAGGTACTTTGTTACTTAAGGTCTGACGTTTGTTGGTTATTAGAAGTTTAAAAGTGTGGAAGAATGATATGTTTGTGTGACGGTTACTTAGGAACTCAAGAGTACAAAACATGAATGAAATGTCTGAAATAATTTGTAGCAAATATTTTTGATTATTCGAGTGTCCGGCGGTGATTATAAAAACGGCCAGAGTACAAAATGATAATAATAATAATAATATTCAGTGCATAAAATACCTAAATTATTTGATACTTATCCAGACATATTTTATACATAATAGATAAATTGATATATACATTAATACTTTTTTAAGTAAACCATGAAAGGTATAAATCCATATGTTGATATATTTTTAGATGGCTAACCAACAATTCATCCTACTAAATGATAATAATCAAAAATTTTAAAATAATTTTATTTTTCATTATGTAGTATCAATTTAAAAAAATATAGCAAAATCTATAGATTTACTATACTTTTTTAGGGTGGAGCGAATACTTATATTATACTTCTATAAATAATAAAATAGTAAATTAAATGTTGATTTTCAATATAAATTTTAACCCTTTGAAGCACAGCATTTTTTTCTCCGATTTTCTCTGAACATGATTATGAAGGTGGTAATAAATATATACCACTGTGCGAGAGTAGGCTATTTTTTGAAAAAGTGGTATATTACTTATACCACCATGCTTCAAAATGTTAAAATGCAATAAAATGATTTGAAATTAATATTTTATTTTTATGTTTTAATTATGCCCTATGTCTGAAATCACACCACAAAAAAAACCAAAATAGTCAATATTAATAAGTATCTAATTTAGTTCAAGCTATATCAACAGCAGCTCAAAAAAAAAAATATATATACATACATATAATATAAAAAATTAACATTAAATAGTTAGTAAAAATAAATGTTCAGACAATTTTTTTGATTTTTGATTACTACTCATAAAAACGGTCTAAGAACACAAAATGTTGAACGCTAAAATAATCTAAAGACAACTGTTTTAAGAATTTAAAAAGATGATATAGGGACTTTTGCTGATGCTTTTAAAAAACATACCTATAATTTTTTATAATAAGACTGTGTAAAAATGCATTTACTCGTTGGTTAAATAAGTATTATAAAGCCAGGGAGTAAAAACTGGAATGATTACAATAGCATAAGATGTTGCTATATATAATGTGATTAAAATAAATTAGATCATGTAATATAGTTATTTCTTATAAGAGCGGAATGAACACATAGATATTTTATGTCAATAATGTATATAAATTTTAAGCACACAAAAGTGTATAAAACTAAAAATCGATTGTTTTTAGATCTGAACAATTTTTATTCAGTGCATCAAATATACTATTATTATTATTTAAAAAAATATTTTTCATTATATTTATATATATATATATATTATTATTATTTTAACAACAATAAACTTTTTTTAAATTAATCCATGTATTATGTTATTTTTAGATAGGTAAATAAATGTTTTTCTACTAAATAATTTACAATAATACTTCCTAAAAAAAAATTATCTGGAAAGTGAAATCAGATACATGATTTAAAAAAATAAAGTTATATGTTTGTCAATTTCAAAGAATACAAACTATATTTTCAACTTTAATGACAATTATTAGATTTTTCTTAGCTTGAATTGTTGATTTCCACATAGCTTACCTACAATGTCTGAATTTTCCAAAGTTAAAATATTAAAACCACAAATTAAGTCAAAAAACAATTTTAAAAACCCCAAACGGTTAGTGATAGTACTCGATAGTGATCATACATATTTATATAGGTAAATCATCCTATTAAATGAAATAATTAAAATATATTCAAATAATGCCAATTTAACGTGAAATAATATATCATTAAAAAAAAAATATATAAAAAAACTAAAATAATTTTTATTCTATGTAGTGATCATAATTGTACAGCTTAAACAAAAAAATTTGAAATAATTAATGTCTTAATTATTTGTACATCAGTATCGTATGTGTGTGCACGTTAAGAAACTAAAGCGTTAAGAGAAGTCGGTTAAGACACTGTATAATGAAAAAAAAAACTGTCAATTTAAATTAGGGTTGAGTATAGAGATTAGATAGGCACTAATTATTAAAAAATACTTCATAAATAACAAAAAATGAACTTTTATGGTGTAAGTTTTCTGTTGGCCACAGGCAAATTAATCGGTGACGGCATAGGATAACAGTCTGTAACCAATGGTAACAATAATAACTACTTATTGTATTAATTAAAGACAGAGTAGATAGAAGTAGCAATCAATCTTCTAAACGGACACGCGTCGGTTATGATTTCACTATAGTATTGGCCTAAAACAAATAATTTACATATATATAAAATAAGTCAGTAAGTTATTTAATTGAAAATAAACAGTAGATATATACGTCAACAAATTTTTCAACAAAAAATATGAAATGTATCGTTATCACCACACACAGCGGTTTGAAAAAGATCTATACTCTACACATACAGTTGATTTAAAATTGAAACACTGGTTCAATATTATTACTTTTTTATAATACCAATTTGTTTTCACATATTAATCGTAATTAAAAACTAACTTTTATATTGTTACAATTATTTTATAATATTGTAAGTTATTGTCCATTTTAAGTGACTCTAAAACCTAAAAATAATTGTTTATAAGACCAGTCACAACGAATTAACAATAATATATTCGAAAATCTATCTGAAACCCTTGGGCCTCAATTTGAAGCAATCACCTACCTTCTAAATTATATTATATTACAATCAGATTTACATAATTATTTATTAAAAAAATAGTTTATAAAATTCTTATCTTATTTGTCTAACTTTTCTATTTTAAATGTATAGTCTACTGCATTCAATTATGTATATCAACTATTTTAATAAAACCCTTACAATGGCCTTTGTTGCCAAAGGGTTTTACCCAATAATTAAAAAAAATATTGTATATTAAAATGTGCAATTGATTATAAAGAATATACTATAAAACGTAATTAATGAATTTAATATAATGTAATATAACATATTAAATTCATTATGCCCGGTGGTCAAGTATTCTTATCATGTATAGTCGAAGTAAAATACTTTCGTGGTATCACAATATCGGGTTAACTGTTGTATGATTCTTTAATTACTTTACGATGTCGGGTATGTTAAATTCGGGCTAACCGTCTAATCGTAGTAATTGTATATTCGAAGTAGATTATATTCGTGGCAAATGACTGATAAAGCAATGTCGGAGTAACTACGAGTCGTGGCATGCAACATTCGTGGTAACTGTAGCAACCCGATCAATATACTGTTTGAACCGCCTTGGTTAACCAAGCGGTATCGTTGTTATCAGTATAATATAATATTATTATCAACTCACCTTGATTTGTTTTCTTATCATAAGTTGATGTGTAAGTCTGAATACTTAATGGCTAGAAGAATTCCGTAGTTGCATAGAAATATTTACTTACCATACAAAATATAAACAATTATTAAAGATGATTGCAAAGCTTTTTATTGACAGTTGATGAATCTTCTGAAATCGAACGATTGCTATCAATTTTATAATTAGGACTGTTCATGTTGTATGTCTCAAGGTTAGTAGAATTTTATTTTAAAATATTACCTAAATAACTCTTCAGTAATGTCGTAGTTACAAATGTAAAACGTAGTTTATTTAATTCGGTCAAATAGCGATTGTTTTATTACATTTAGTGTTAATAAAAAACAATAAGTGTATATTAGAATTTTTCATTTTTAATAGAAATACATTTACAAATTATAATTAAAATAATAATTTTTGTTTAACAAAAATACTTAAAATATCTTTAATATACCTAGTAGTTTATAATGGTATGCCACCTCCCTACCCTAAGGTACATGGTTATGCTGCAGTCTTATCTAAAAATGACGTCCGGCAGCAGTGCAAGACGGCTAGTTTATGTGTTAGCCAATAGGGCCTATTCCAGGAAATTTCGCAGTACTAAAGAGATTAGAGGAGAAGAATTGATGGAACAAGAAGATGAATTGGTGAGGGTATGTATGTTTAATTGTCCATGTTTTATTGTAAATGTTCATTCCAATTATTGTTATAGACATATTTTTTGTATAAAATCAAAACAATAAACTTAAAGTAGAATCAATTAGAATGCACTCATAAAAAAAAAATTATATTTTGAAAGAATATACGAGGTAGAACTAAAATAATAAGATTAAGATACTCAATTCAAGGCCTTTTCATACATTTTACAAGAAAATTGTTTAAACTAAATTTGATATTTTCATATACATTGACAATTATACTATTTTTTTATTACTTACCATTGTATAGATTTTGAACTATTTATTTTATGTAAGTAAATCCTGAAAATTGATTAAAAGGTGTACGTAAATTATTCACACTATACTACTATATGCAGCTTTACTAAGAAAATAATTTACCTAATTATCAAAATTTCAATCTAAAGTTTACTCATAATTTAAGAACATAATAATAATATTATATTTTATTATCCGGGTACTTTTATTCATTGAACTTTTGTTGTATTTCAATTGTTTTCTTAGTTTTGCAATTTGCATATTCATTTATTTTATTAAACTATAATATATAGCAATTTTGCATTTACTTATCAAGGTAATGATTAGATGCTGTTTGAATTGTATCTGAACTCTTATTTGAAACACTATTAATTAATACCTAAATATGTTTGTATTATAATAGAAAATAGAGGACTCTGAATTCCGAACAAACCCTAATTGGCAGTTGATACCAAAAAATAAAGACAGTCAATTTAAGTTGCCTAATAATGTCGGTATTGCTCCTGAAGTAAGTCTGGCTAATAATATATCTAAATTATTGTCATTAGATAAAATACTCTTGAACCGCAAGCAGAGTTGGAAATAACTTGGGTTTTTTTTTGTTTAATTAAAAATACAGTTTTTAAAATTATGGATAATTCTTATTAAAACCTTATATTTTTGGATAACTACTAAATATTTGCTGGATTTTTGTGTTTTGAGATTTTTATCTAACTGACTGCAAATGAAATTTGTATGTTGTCACACAATAGAAATTTAATATGGTATTATTGTTCTAACATCATTTATGGTATTGCATTAAAACTGGTTTTAGTTGTTGTGCTAAATACATTGTTTTTAATAGGTAAAGAATATACCTGAGTTAGATTTCATTATTACTTTTACATTTTATTATTAATATTTATTTTTTCAGTATTTTCTTACTGTTTTTAATGTATTCTAATGTCTAAAATCTAGTTCATTCTCAAAAATTTGTAATTGATTTTAAAAAAGATACATTTTTAATTTTCTTCCGTTCTCAAGAAAATCTCCTTACTTTTTTATATTGTAACCTATTTTTTTCTGTTTTCTCCTAATATTTTTCACAAGTTACCATTTTCTGCAATTATGCCCAAATCCAAGCAAGTTCGTATAAGTTAAAGTACAATATTTTTTTATTGTCTCTAGATTTTCAAACTCATCCTCACTGCTGAAATTTATTAATACACAGTAGAAATTGCTCAAATGGAAATTAGTTTATACTTATATATATTAATATATTATATCAAAATCTTATTAATAAACTAATATATAAATAAACAGACTGTTGTATGCACTAATGATGGTAACATTGCTCCTAAAATACGTATACACTATAGAGAATTATTTTTGTGGTTAAGAGTTAATTTAAATATTTAACTATTTTATTAATATTAATATTTGTTTTTTTCTTTTAGGATTGTATTATAACTACTCGTTTAAACTATCAATTAGAAGACTGTCCAGTTTTATTAAAATCAGGTATATATATATATATAATAAAACTCTTTTAATATTATTAAAAATACTTTGTAAACTGTCAAATATTGTTTCAGAAATTGCAGAAAGATTCAATGTTCCACATCTTAAGAATTTTCATATAAGTATAATTACAATAAGTTTGAAGGAAGTATATAACTCGAATCTTTCTAACTTAACGAGACAAGTAAATATTTTAATATATCCTTACATGATAACTGACATATCAGCTTAATGATATCAAAATATTTTATTTTAGTATCTCCATGCAGCTTTTGGTATTAGCGATCGATTACAAAGTGCAGGGTATTGGGCTGACTTCATACACCCTTACACCGGTTTGCCAGCTATTAGTCCAGGCCATAATATTGATTTTTCTAAACTTGAACTTCCCTATAAACACACAGTTTATCATGTCAGCAAGCGTAAGAAGTGCAAAGTAATTTTAGAGAAAATATCTCCAAGCACTATTGGTAAGATTAGTGTAAAATTATTATTAAAATTAAAATGCAGTGTACCAATTATCATCTCTTTTCTGTAAGAATTACTTATAAAAAAAAAATCAAATTTACATGATGTAAATTCCATTCTAAAAATACCTAGTCATATCGGTAATATTGTTATTTGTTGTCTTTGACAACAGAAAAGTTTGATTTCAGTTTAATAAAAAAAAAGATTAAAAAACTTTGTTAACCTTAACTTGAAAAAATAAGTAAAATAAAGAAGTACAGTTGTGTAAAGCAAAAAATATATTGATGTTTGTGATTTTACAATTTAGATCCTATTGTTTGTTTCAGGTAATATTTTTACAAACGCTTCTCCGACAGAAACGGATATTATGGAAGACATTTTGGATGAAGTCATTGATTTACATCATACTGATAATGACTAAATGGATGTTACACTTTTGTTTGAAACTAAATATATATGAATATTGAGAAATGTATAATATTATTTACAATTTATTTGACGTGATAACTGTTTTTGAAAAATTATTAATTTTAAATTTGTAAATACATATAACATTTTGTTGGAATCTATTTAACCAATTCTATCCTAAAAATGTTGTTGGCAATGAAAAATTAGTAGTAATTATTAATATTAGTTTTATTCAATGCTGCCTTCTGATTATTTATCTAATACCATAGTTGTACCATATGTTGTTCGTTAAACTATTAAAACTTAGGTAATATGAAAACTATGTAAACATATGAAAAAAAATATATATAATTGTTTTTTTTTTTAGTAATTTTTAAGTATTTGTGTATTTTCTTGATCATCGAAAAATAGGGAGGAGGCACCAACCTATAAAATTATTAAACAATACTAATGGATTGCTTTTATTTAATTGCTCATGCTTAGACTCAACGTATTCTTATTTTCTTTTACAATATAGGAATTAATTTAAAGAACATGAACCGCCACCAGAAACGCAAGAGTACTGATTCTAATAGTCAACATAATCTTCAAAAACAACACAAATCTTCATCTAAACCGTTTTCTTTTCTGGACTACAAACGAATTTTAGACAGAGTGTTTTTCAGCGATGAACTGGTTGAAAATGTTGACGATGTTTGGTTGTTCGTTAAGAAGTTTGAAATGTTTGCTACAAAGAAGGGTTCTAATGAAAATACCGAGTCTGAACCTTTAAACACTAATCCTCTTGGTCTGCCAATTGCTTTCGATAAAATGCATATGATCAATTTAAAACTGGGCGTTTCCGATGATGAGTTAGTTTCTAGATTGCCGACATACGACCAAGAAGCAACGTATGAAAAAAGACCATTGACCAAAGACGACATAGTCAAGTTTCGGCAACTAGTCGTTATGTATATGGACTTCAAACAAAAAGAAAAATTCAATAAATTGAGGAAGCTTAGAGATGCCCAAAATAGTTTGCCAGTTTATCAATTCAAGTAAGCTATTTTCATTTTTATAGTCAACTTAGCCTCATCACTATTTTTACTAGGGTTTTACTACTAGTAGAGACTATCCAGTAACCCATTGAACATGATTTATGGCGTAAATTTAAATTATGGACAGAGATATTTTTTTTTTTTGGTTAAACAGAATTAACATACTTTTGAAGAATTAAAAGGAAGAAAACAGAATTGAGAATTGAAAGTGAAGTTTAACCAAATCTCACATTTTCATCATTACTTTTTAAATGTTCTAATACATTTTTAACATATGAAAAATGTTTTGTCTAAAATCTCTAAAAAATGTATTATTACTACTATAATACATTACTTATGACCTCAAGCATAAGAGTAGTCATATACTATACCATTGTCCCACTTATAGAGTTATTGTAATATCTCCTAGGGAAATTAAGTTTTTTTTATACACCTATTATATTATCATTGAATTATAAACAGTAAATATTTCATTAAAAAAAAAAAAAAAATACAAAATTATTTTTTTATTAAATTGTTTAAAAATTAAAATAGATATTTTAACAGCGAATTTTTTTGTAAAAGTTAAACGTGGTTAATATCGAGGTTTGAATATTTATACTGCACTTCTTACCTCACTTATATTTTTAAGCATTATAATAACTCCAAAAATGTATGTACAAATTGTCAAATAATCAACCAGTCAACATTATTTTTTTTATAAAACTATACATTGAAATTTTGATTTTTATTAATTTAAAAAAATAAAGTTCTACCCTCTAACAGGTTTTTGGGAGGGAGTAAAGTGGTAAAAACAAAATGGGCTCACGGTGTTTTAAGTTGGAAAAAGCGTTAGGTTATGTTAGGTCAACGTGTTATTAAAAGTTGCATAGAGAACAAACCTGTTCCAAGTAGGTACTTACGCCGCTAGCAGTATATTTGTTAGCACCTACAGAAAAAATTATTAGTTGTTTTAATCTTAGTTTAAAAACAAAATTAAAAATCTTTAATTAGACTTGGAAATATTACAGCGAGGTGTATGATAGATATTTGTAGGACAATACCATTGTCCCTATTACATAGATGCAAATGCTTACTGCTTAGATGTATGTTGTTTTTATTAATTTCATGTTTTACTGTGCACTTTATAGAAATGAAATTGTTGAAGCAGTTAAAGAACACCGTGTCGTTATTATTGCTGGAGATACAGGATGTGGGAAATCCACACAAATACCACAATATTTGTCAAACGCTGGCTTTAAGCGTATTGGTAATTTAACAATTACGGAAATATAATTTAACATCAATACATCATTGTATACATGTTTATTGTCCCGTTCTCATCAGTTAAGCTAAACATATAAGTATAGTTAAGCATTTAAGTTATAACCCATAAGTACAAGTAAAGGCCAAACTGGTGAGAACAAATATTTTTTAAAGACTTAACTAAATCAGTATTTCATAGCTTGTACACAGCCACGTCGTATAGCTTGTATATCTCTATCGAAAAGAGTAGCCTATGAATCCATGTCTACTTACACAACAGAAGTCGGCTACCAGATACGATTCGAGAAGACTGTGAATAAAGACACTAAAATATTATTTTTAACCGAAGGACTACTTCTTAGACAAGTAATATTGCCATTTTAAATAATCAGTCTATAATTTGTATGTTATAAATGGTTTAAATAATTAAATGTCTATTCGGTTTATGAACATGTTATTAATAGTTAGCGGGGAAATGATTTGTATCTAAAATAATGTATTCAGTTAACTAACAAATTATACACTTAGAGAACTTTTTTCAATTTTTTTGGCTAATACATTTATTAATTTATTATTTTCAGGTATGTGGAGAAGATTTATTGTCACAGTACGACGTTATAGTATTGGACGAAATACACGAACGACATTTACACGGTGATTTCTTGTTGGGAGTGATGAAGTGTTTGTTGCATCAACGGTCTGATGTTAAGCTCGTGCTTATGTCGGCTACCATTAATGTGGATTTGTTCAATAAATATTTTTCCCCTCTGGCTAAACTTATACAGGTTGTTACACTTGCACGTCAAGATAAATCATAACTAATCGATAAAGTGTTTGTGTTTCGGTGTTGAACTTAATATAACTTTGAAAGTATTTCTGACTTCTGTAGTATTTGAACATAAGGGAAAAAGATTTAATTTACAATATTTTTTTGCCATTTTAAAAATTTAACTCGTCTAGATTGGTGAAACTAAAAAAATGATATCTTAAATCTCGAGCCACATACCTACTCAAAAGCCGAAACACTATTTTCAAACGTGGTTTTATTCAGCTTAAGGCTGACTTTATTTGATTCTAACAATAAGTACCTATAGGATTGTGTTAATCTTATTCATTATTGTCTGCAGGTGCCCGGACGATTATATCCAATAAAATTGGAGTATCATCCAGTCATAAGCGAAATGAAGGTACTCGGCAAAAAATCCGAACGCTTCGACCCGTCACCTTTCGTAAAAATAATGCAAATGATTGACAAGAAATACCCAAAACACGAGCGAGGTGACGTGCTAATGTTTTTAAGTGGTATGGCTGAAATTACTGCTGTTGCAGATGCTGCACGGGTGTATTGCGAAAAGGCAGATTCGTGGATTATTTTACCTTTACACAGTTCAATGTCCTTAGCCGAACAAGATAAGGTATATATGATGTTATACAGAACATAAAAGTGATTTTAGAAATCTATATTGTGTGTGTGTGTGACAAAATTAAATAATAGGTAATTTTACAAATAATACAGATTTTCAGCCTCAGTGCGAACGTAGGGTCTACACACTCAAGCTGCCTTTAAAACTGTCATTGATGCGTAATTAAACATCATTTATTTCGTTAAATCCTAATAAAATATTTATACATTAAAATCGAACCTAACACGTATTACAAATTAAAAAATATAGATTAAATATATTGTATGATATAAATATTCTCAATATCCTTTTAATAAGCCTTTTTCAAAGCTATTTGTAAAACAAATACTCTTCTTAAGGGTCCCGGCGCCGTGCCGGTGCATTTTCCTGCTCAAACACTTGCTGCAAAAGTGATGACGTCTTATAGTTATCGGATTTTGCTTTATTTTTTTTAGGTTTTTGATTATGCACCGGAAGGCGCGCGTAAGTGCATCATATCGACAAACATAGCTGAGACTTCCATCACCATTGACGGTATTAGGTTTGTCGTCGACTCCGGAAAGGTCAAAGAAATGAGTTATGATTCCACTAGTAAGGTGCAAAGGCTAAAAGAGTTTTGGGTGAGCAAAGCCAGCGCTGATCAACGCAAAGGAAGAGCGGGTAATTATAAAACAAAACTAAATAGTAATATGTAGTTCATTATCCAGCACTCGTGTTTATTGGATTTAGGCCGTACCGGTCCTGGCGTTTGTTACCGTTTGTACTCTGAAGACGAATTCGAAGCTATGGCCGAATACAGTACACCCGAGCTACAAAAAGTACCGCTAGATGCTCTGTTACTTCAGATGGTCGCCATGGGGTTGCCTAATGCTCGGTTGTTCCCATTCATTGAACCACCACAACCGGAAAGAGTCGAAAACGCCATCGAGTCCTTGAAACAATATGTAAAATTAATATGCTATGTCATAATAAGTGATTGATCTCTGTTCTTTATACGTTCATGATGTTTTTTTAAGGGAGCGTTAACAAAAGAAGAGAGGCTTACTCCTATCGGCAACATGTTGTCACGATTGCCTGTGGACATTCCGCTTGGAAAAATGCTCATAATGGGATCTCTTTTCGACCAGTTGGAGCCGGTTTTGTCTTTGGCGTGTGTACTGTCCGTCCAAACGCCGTTTACCAATAAAGCGTACAAAGATCCCGAATGCGAGGTAAGAAGTACAGCCATAATGGTAGACTAAAATAACGAACAAAATCCAGCACAGTGGGGGCGGAACATATTAGGGTCGGAGATATTGATTGGTCGTTTGTACATTTTGTAAAGTAACAGAAAAAAAATATTATAACATTATTTCCGAACAATATTATTGCTACCGTAAAATAAATCACTTTTTTCGGAATTCCCTTAACCTTAAAAAAGTTAAACTAAAGATTTTTGAACAATTGAAAAACCTATTTTCGGCCTAAATAGTAACTTTCGGTTACAATTTCTGATCTATAGACTTGCATCTTGAAAATCGGTCCTGTGGTTAAAGGAATATAGTAGGTCCAGACACATAAAAAAAAAAAAATTTTAAAAAACCCATCATTGTAATAACAATTTTTTCGCAGTCCCACATCGCAGGTAATATATAAGTAATTGTATTACATCATTGATTGATTGTTGTTTAGAGGGCCAGAATGGACTTGGAATCCGACCACGGTGACCCAATTATTTTGCTCAACGCGTTTAAACAGTGGTTGGAGCTAAAGAGCGACGGACAGAACACTAATACGCGTCAATGGTGCAAGAGGCGAGGATTCGAAGAACAGCGGTTCTACGAGATGACCAAGTTGCGGCGACAGTTTAAAGACCTTTTGGATGTAACTACCGTTTGATTCTTTTCGACCTCCTAAAAATGGCTATTTTAAATCAAACAAATTTTTTTTTTAGGAATGCGGCTTGGTAAAAAACGAGGAAAAAAATATGGACGACATGACCAGTGCGGAGAGAGCGCTTAGACATGGCGAGCTTAAGTTGTTGAGAAACATGAAGAAAACACACAAAGAAGAGGAGTCGAGGAAGCGAAAAGTACTAAAGAAAGACGTATGGACAGTAGAAGAAAATCTCGATGCGGAAGACGACACTGTTGATATTAGAGACATAGATTTCAGGCTCAGGCATAATCAACGGCAAGTTAAGGTATTTGTGTGTATAATTATTCAATAAATTACCGTTCTGAACAATATTTGTCCTATGTTTAGCAACTGTTGAAAGGAACTACGGCAATTAGCTACAAAGATTTGATGATGTTGAAAATAATTCTAAGCAGTGGACTATATCCTCACATAGCCATCGCCGACGAATTTAATTCTTGCAAGGTAAAGAACGCGGCTCTTGTTTAATTTTTATTACAAATGTTTTGCTAAAATAGTAAATTTAAAAATAATTTTGCTTGGTTAACACAGACCACCAAGGAGCATCTTTTTCACACCGAAGGCAAACCTTTCGTGTCACTTCATCCTATGAGCTATTTTGGAAATCATTCAGACGTATTACAACTTACGGAAAACGAAATACTTCACGTGCCGGACTTCAAAAGCAAAAATACTGTCAGTTCCAAACACCAAATTTTGATTTACATGTAAGTTACGGCCTCACAATAAACAAACCAAACTTAAATTAGTAGAATATTGAAAACTGCTGAACAGTTAATTATTTAATTTTTAAAAAAAATATGGGTAGCAAAAATAAAAAAGATAATTATTCCGAAGCTTAAGCAACGTTTTTCATTAACGCATAATTCTGTTTCTGAAAATTGTTATATATTTTCCAATAAAAACATTGTATTATGATAAAACGAAAAAAACTACACTAAATAATGATTGTAAAACAATTTTTAAATAACTTTTAATTTTAATACATTCTTTTTACAACAATAGTCAATACGCCTACATATAAGTACCCAACTATCAAATACATTTCTTTAATTTGCTTACATTGACAACATAATAGTGTTATTTCAACTTGGCCTAGTGATTTTGTCTATACAATGTTTTGCTTGCATTGATTCTTTTTATTATCTTACAATATTTTTTTGACATTACATTTTGTGTATGTAATGTATATATTTGTAATTAATTAGATAATTATTTTCCATATCTTAATTTAGAGCTATTTATAACTAATAAACTAACTTTTGTTAAACTTTATCTTTTGTTAAATTAACATGTGTTAAATTTACGAGTGTTGCTCAAACGTTGTTTTATATTCAGGTTAAACACAGGTTAAACGCAAAACATTGATAACAAAATTTAATTGTACATACATTTTTACTCAACTATAAATGACCCTCTAGTTTAACTCGTGATAAAGTACATCTTTAACAACAGATAACATTTAAAATATGGTTTATGTAACAGAATTTCTTTTAACTCCAGTTAAACGAGTTTATATTTGTGTAAATATTTGGTGCAACCCGGCATAAGTATGTTTTTTTTTGTCAGACCATCGCAGTAATTACTATCGAAAAAAACACAATTTTGTTCCATCAAAATAGTTTTGCGCGAATCAAAACTAAAGTCAATCAGAACTTCATCTCTGCTTAAGCGTTTTTAAATTGTCGATAACTCAACCAACTAACTAATTATTAATAACTTATTTAAAAAAACCTAAATTTTATAAATTCATTAAAAAAAAAAATATTCTATCTTTAAAAAATTGTTCTTGTTTAAGAGTAGATAATATTCTCCTCCATTTTTCTATCACAATAAACTTTCTTATTTTATTTTTTACATCAAAATTCAATTTAATACACTTGTACAATCAAATTGTTTTCCTTTAAATTTGTTTAATTAAAATTTTAGGATTAGATACTATGGTTTTCTACCTTTGTATTCGTACAATGTGTTTAAACTTTAAACTTTAAATTATTAAAATAAAAAAAAACAATCGCAGTATTAAACCAGTCTAAATAGAAGGTTAGGAAAGTGCTGTGAATGCAGTCATTAAATCTGAAAGTGTCCAACGGTCAAAATATTGTATGCCCATTTTGGGAGTACTGTACAGGCAGCACAATAAACGGTTTGTCGGTTAATGTCCACATTTTTTTTAAAATTTGTTATTCTTAATTAAATAATCATTCTAAGATAGTATTTTCTAAAATACCACAGAATCATATACAGGTTTTTTTAATAAATACAATTCTCTTTAGTATATTGTTAATTAACATAGTATCTTTTTCTGATATTCAACTCTTAAGAGTACGCTTAAAAAAGAAAAAAATTGGGAAGGGGTCATTAGGATGCTTTCAGACATACCTTCATCAAAATTTAAATTTGGTTTTCTTTTTGACCATTTTCCAGTTACACCAAACCGAGTAAAAAATTTAAATAGAGGACATTTTTTAGAGATATTGTTGGTTTTCTTTAAACTTTTTTGTAATATAAAAAAAAATGTTTATATTATATTTATTAAAAATGTATAATTATTTTTTGCTTCGTTGCATAGCATGGAAAGTGTTTTATTGCTAAATATTTTTCACATCTGTTCTCTGGATCATTGATTATATTTTAACCTTTAAAATACGGAATAACCTTAACATGAAAATAATTCGTGGAATTCGCAAATGTATAAAAAATAACTTGTAATTTATATTTTTTTTAAATAATGTGAACAAATTGGATATAAACGTTTTTTATTTTACAAGGACGTGTATGTATTATGGGTTTGCCTTTAATTTATTCTTAATGTCGGCGACTTTAAGCTACGATTTTCCCTACAATCACGTCACTTGCAATCGGTTGTATAATAAATACTAACTAATTGTATATTTTACGCCAGATTACTAACTCATTGTAACGTAAGATCAAAACATATGTAGAATGCATCATTATTGCTAGGCTAACAAAAGTAATTATTTTGTTTATCAATTACCTATATGTAGTAAATAAGGCCAATTGTTTTATGATTTTCTAGCAGAAGCTTTAAATAATTTATTTTATTCTTTAAACGTAATAATTAAGCCCCTACAGGTTTTAAATGCTCTGTGTAAGTTGTTTGTTTTAAACGGTTGATAAAACAATGCGAAACTTACCAAAGGCTTAGCAAGCACCCATCCAGATACAAGCAACGTTTAACGGCACTAAACTTTATAAATATCGTCGGTTTTGTATTTGTTACGGCCAAAAGTTTTTGCGGTCAGGACGCGTTTGACTTTATTCTTTAAATATTTTGTGATCGTGGACTTCGTTTTTCGTTTTTAGACAAACATTTATTGCTTATATAGTATATATATATATATATATATATATCAACTCTGTGGTCTAAAGTTATCATTTAGTTAATTTTAGTCGTGTGTTTTTATTTGTCTAAGATATCCAATGGTTAGGTTGATCGAATGAATGTATTTGATTACTTACAGTTTTGAGTTAAAAAAAAAAACAATTTTGATGTTCTCCGGTCTGGTATATATAATGTCTAGTACTTAAGTGACAATCGAGGAAAGACGAAGGGTTACACGGACCTCTCAGCTAAGTAGATTTTGGAAATTAAGGTTGTAGAATGATAGACGATCGGTGGCTATACGGTATAGCCTATACCTTATATCTAGGGAGGAAGTGTCTAAAGGTAGAAATAATGACCCTATATTTTTTTGCGATGGATTCGACAAATTACTCAATTGGAATTGAGCCAGGAAGACGTCGATTACTCTTAGATTTTTTCATATTAATTCTTAACCATGAGCCTACATATTACAATACCCAAAAGTTTGTCTAACTATTCATGATTTCATTGAAAATATTAAAAAAATACTAATAATTATTTAATTAAATATCCTACTGTCATTGAGTAATTTTGATTTCCTAACAATTCGTAAAAATTGAGGCAAAGTGTTAATAAGCAGTATACAATAAAGTTATACATAATATGATTTCAATCAAATTCTCCTCCCGTCTAAACTTTAAAAGTGCTTAATTAACTTGAGAAATAATAATTCAAAGGCGACAAAGCAGGTTATCGGTCTGTTAAACATTAACAATAAGTAATAAAACAATCGCATACGTTTGAAATTCAAAAGTTGATAATAGTAGTATTTAATGAAGGAAATATTTCAACATAATATTTTTTTAGAAATTTATTATCACTTTAATTATTACTGTATAGTATACTATATACTCAATTATAGTTGGCTGTGTCTTAGTGGCAACCCATGAGCCGGGCAGCCCGCCAGTATGTTCAATAAAGGTTGTATCTCTCAGTAATACCACAACAAAAAAATATAGTAATATTATTGATTTTATTGCTTTTTGTTCGCTTTTGTTAATTCATCAAAAACTCAAAACTAAGTTATGTTAAAATATATACCAAAAATTAAGTAAACGGCCTCCGGCGTTGTATCTTTTCAACGGCTTAAACAATGTGTTTCTCTTAGAGTTTACATAGTTTTAATTATTAATTGTGTACAAGTTTAGTTGTATGTAAAAATCTGTCAAGTAGCCATACTACGGAGACCGTTAAAATAGTCAATCTGGACAACCGGCGTTTACTTGAATGTTTGTTATAATTCTCTCGATAAAAAACTCCATCAGTTCCCAACAAAGACACATAGGTATAATAAGCTTATTGACAATACTTTATTATTACCCGTACGTAGTACACACGTATACAACACACGGTCGTGGTCGTCCTTTGTTTATGTCAAATGCTAGATAGACGTGTCGCTGTTTGTGAGGTGAGCAATGCTATTAGCTAATGAAATGTTTATTATTCATCCTGTGAACCTTGTATTCGTATTTATTACACATTTTATTATGCTATCAAATAAAAGTTTACTGCGTTATGGCAATGCAATTTGTTATTTTGTGTTAAAATTTTATTAGGTAAATAGAACGTTTTGTGTATAAAATAATAATTGCTTGAACATTGTCGTTGTAGCTCACACTATAATCGGGATGCGTAAAAACTTTCCATTCTAATAAGTAATAACATTTTTTAATTATATTATTTTTCATTGTGTGTTGCTGTAATTTAAAAACATCTCGTGTTAGCCACATTGCTTATTTCCACGTAAAAATGAGTAGCAACTAACAAGCAATTTGTGCAGTTATTATTGGAGTAAAATAAACGGATTAAAATGACTAACAGTTTTTTTTTACTTTCGCAGTAATAAAAATATCTTATTTACCAATTTGTGTGACTCAAAATCTTTCTAGGTCATTGCTGGAAACCACTAAAGCGTACATTATGAACTCGTTGAGAATGCCAGCTGCACAGACCTTGTTGTTGTTTAGCAGAAATATTTGCACCAATCGGAATTTTTCTCAGTAAGTATACTAAGTGGGTTCGCTTCAATGCGGAGCTTTGAAGGTATTGTTTTAACGTTGATGTGTGTTTTACGTTTTTATTTGTACTCACAATATCTCCTAAACCGCTACACTGATTTTTTCACGCAGTCAGTCTATAAAGCTGGCATCGTAAACTTAAATACAAAACTGAAAATATGATAACAATTTGATTTATTATTATATTTAGAAAATTAAATACTGTTACTGGTTGATATTCTTGTTATATACAGGGTGATTAATTTAATATTTTAAATATATACGAAAAATACAAATAATTCTATGTTTTTCACTAAACGAAAAACATCAAGTTTTTAGAAAGAAGAATAAGAAAAATGTCACATCGACCAACAAACTGTTCTGTTGGTGTATCATTTTCAATATTCAGCTTAAAAAATAAATGAAATGCATTCGTAGTCATTTGTTCAAATTAAAAATAAAACCGTGATTTCCTCTTTTTTAGTTATAATATTATCTTAAAAACTTTCTTATAACTTAACAGTCTCTTCAACTCCAATATCCTTGATCCCACTGTGCTGGCTTTTTTTTCATCTATAGCATTCAAACTATTTTTAATTTTATTTTTAAGAATCATTTGCGATTCATGGCTACAATTAGAGTTCCCGTTGCCAGAGGCCGCCGAAACATTAATTCTCAAAGCGTCTATGCTTCGAAATACTTGGGACAGACTGTTAAAACTCAAACTAGAAGGTACATTAACAATAACAATATGTAACAATAATATTATAACTAATTTTACGATTAAATCCAATTTACTATGTTGTTGTTGTTGGGGCTCTTAGAAAAAAGCAACAGGAAGGGTGAGAAACAGTTGGCCGAAGACATGGTGCGGTTCATGTACACCGACATCGGTTACACCGTCAAGAGACTGTTGGCGGCCGACCAGAAAGTCATGTACTTCGGACCTACTGGTGAAGACGTGCAGTTTTCCGGTACGAACCCTTTTAGCGACACCGACTGGCAGGTTTGCGAAGACGACAAGTACGGCGGTCTCAGGCTGTCCCCTTACTTGACTTACGACTGGTAAGCTTCATGCGTGTTATAAAAAATTCATATTAATCGAATTTGGTTTTGTTTTTCAGTTTAACAGGTCAAGGTCTGGTGGTCTATGAGCCGTGGATCTGTCCATCGTGTGATGAGACTATAGAAATCACGAGTGCTCTTGAAAGACTGCAGCATCAACAAGTTTGCCACGCTCAAACTGCTTCGGATTCTTCTAAAGGAACGTTTCCAATAAGTGAGTGAAAACAATTTTACAAATAACGCGAATTCTTGACGTATATACAGCCAGAACGTTTTTGCAACCCCTATTATTTTTATAATTTCGTACTGTACACTTCTTATATAGGTCACGTGAACTTCATATGGGTCTTACTCCATTTCACTCCTCCAACAATTTAAGACCGAATTGTTTTTAATAAAATAATATTATTTACACGATTTTATATATTAAATATTATATAATGTATATATGTACATAAAACTACACTTTGTAGTGAAGCTATATATAGATGTATAGATGTATAGATGTATAGACATCTATACAAGTAGCCACAATGAGTATAGTTTAGTATTATAAATAAAACCTAAACGTTTAGGTGTACAATTACACTTTATAATAGACAGCGTGACAAACGCAACAAGAACAAAGAATACTGCTACACTACCATACACGTGAACACGAATTAACAAAGACACAAACTACGACCAAATGATGGCTGACTAGAGACGCGTTAATTTTGAGAAAATTGCAATTTTTCAGATTTTTCCCTTTACTTATAAAACCCACCTTTGAAACAAAATACATACATTTTTTTGTTTTTATTGTTTTGACTTTCGCCAAATTAGAAACTGCCCTCAGATTTTCTTTGACACGTCCAGTTATTTTTTAAATAACCTCCAGAGTTGTTGACAACTTACAAAACAAAAATCCAGAATCGTTTAATTCGTTTTTTCTCTAAAAAAAACTACAAAATCTACTATTATTTTGATACCAGAAACTTTATTATAAATATATTTTTGATAATTATACTTGAACATGCAGAACATGCCTAAAACATACCGAAACGGTGTTGCTTATATCTTTGAAGGCGATTGAAGAAATAACTAGGCGTACTAAAGAAGTTTTGAAGCTAAATTTAGATTCAACAAAACAAATGTAAAAAAGTGTATGCTGGTTTTTTTTTAAAAAAATTTTGTTGTACAGTGCAATAACTAGCTTAATAATTTAAATAGTTATTTAAGCCCAAACCTATTTATACAACAAAATAATATATTTACCTAACCCTGTCTGGGTAATAAGAATAAACAACATTAAAATTACATTGTATTGTATTGGTCACAGACATTTTTTAGTTATATCTTTTAAATATAGTAGCTAGACACTTTTTATATTCGTCCTGTACGTTGTGTCTTACCTTATATAAAAAGAGTACCTGTATTTCTACACATTTAAGACAAATTTTGATGTTGAATTTCGTGTTTACATCATTAATTAACGTGTACAAATAACGATATATTTTTTACGGTAAAATTAAGTACACCATAAAGGCTAAAGCCAGAAAGACGCGGAATACGATTTACAATGGGGTTGTTTTCTTTGCGGCTAATTGTCATCTCGGTTTCGCAGAATTCTTAACGGGCTTGGAAAACTTTCTACTATTTTCATTGTTCAAAAACATACTATTATGCATACAGCGGTGAAACTGCTTTTGTTCCGGAAAGTGGGCAAAGCAAAACATTTTCCAACTGTGCCATAACCATTCTAGCGTAGTGAATATAATATCTAAGTATATTTTATGTGTTTATTGAAACTTTTACCTATTACGACATTAGCGTACCTTCGCCTAAGCGAGAAGTTCTTTGGCCGATAACTTCAAAAGTTTAAAAACATAAACGCACAAATCACACTTATAACCACATACAATTATTATACAATATAATGCAATACTATATTTGAAAATGCCCGTTAGATTAATAAATTTAGTATCAATTTTTTTCATCAAATATTAATGTCTGTATTTAAAAATGTTTACATAAATATGAGAAAACTACAGGTATTTTGTATGAAGAACTTCATCTCGTTACAGGCGGAAATTTGAATTTGGGTTAAGGAGTTCCTATTGGGGTGGACATTTGTCTTTTTTTTATTTAGAATCAAGTGGGGGAGGATAGCGTCATAGAAATTAAGACTGCTTAAATAAAAATCGCCCTAATTTGCATGTGTATGCATACATTTGTATGTGTTGTAGTATTGGTGTATCTGCGGTTAGTCCCTGTAATGTCTAAGGATTAAGAGAACTTTTGGGATCACCTGCATGGGAGGTCGGGAAGTACGTTCGGTACAGGTGCATCGTTTATTAAAAAATGATATATAATAATATGTGTGTAAGAATAGGCCTTAAACATGTTTTATTGTATGTACCAATTGAATACTAAAAACCAATAACGGAGAGAAAACGCAAAACGCTGTGTGCCTTTCAATTCGGTTTTTTTCTTTTCATTTTCTGCTTTTTACATTATTGTACTTCGTTGAATATTGCCTTTGCGTATCGGCGTTCCATCTTATTGAAAAAAATATACTTACTTATATGTATTTAAAAGAAATGTACATTTATTTTCTCAGAAAATCTTTTTGGAACTCAAGTGTTCGCCAACAATATAATGCTATCGATTTTTCGAAGTTAACTAGAAACTTGTATGTCATGAAAATTTCCCAAATTGACACTATGTTAAAAATTAAAAAACGTTTTGAATTTTTGTTATTTTAATTGTGAAAATGTAAACAAAAACACAACGTTATGATAAATTATGGTAATTTGTGTTACCAAAATATACTTAAAACAAATTTGTGATATCGTAATCGTTTTGATTATTGACTGACTTTGACTATATATAATAATATATATAACAGTAATAGTAATATGTTAATATATTAAGATAATATTAATATGTTTACTTGATTGATACACAAAAATGTATGTTAAAAATAGTTTAAATCACACTTAAATATCTAACTTTTTTGAAAAATCTGTGAAAATCTCTTATACTTTATATTTCTAACTAATGTTGTTTGTTTATTGTGTTTAATTTAGGCGAAGCGAACGAAGATGCATTGAAATTGAAACCTAATGCTAAAAAGTACGAATGTCCGCATTGTTCACAAATATTGTACTTCACACCGACTGAAATTTTAAAGCATAAGAAATCACATTTGTAAAATTTAATAACTATTTAAAATTATTTGGTTATTTTTTCTTTTGGTTGAATAAATTTAAGTTTTATATTTAGTTTTGGCTTTTTACAAAACCATTTTTATTTTAATATCTGAAACCTATCCACGGGAATCTTATTTTCATAAATTCTGAAAAGTTAAAATGTATAAAATTAAAAATGATAAAAAATTTTCGTTGAATAGGGGCTAGGTTATGTTGAAATTAAATTTAAACCAAACGTTTAAACGCCAAAAGCAATAGTAAATTAATTTAAATATTTTACAGGTATATTAGTCTATTTTATATCTTCTAAAATGATTTATATAATTTCGTTGTTAAATCGTGTTTTATTATTTTTAAAACTTTCTTGTTTTTATATTCTAATTTTCCACTGTGTGGAGGGCGACACTTGTGGGGGAAATTAACCAACCATCCGGGGCTGTGTTTAGCTCTATCCTAACCAACCTACCTTTAATGTTATTTTTGGTTGTTGTCGTCTTGGTGCTTAATAAGCACATCTACTAATCCCTTTCCCCTTATTTTGAAGAAATCTTGCACACGTGACACAAGCCTGCCCCAGTCGCTCCATAAACACCAAGTAATAAATATGTTTTGTTATCTCCAAATTATTAAAGTTATTCCCATAACACATTATATACTTTGGAACAAACCCCTTTTTCAGTCTCTCACTGTTTGCATATTTTTTTATGAAAATTTTATTGTTTTAACGGTAGCACTGTTACTTGAACTTATCAATGTTTACGGAAAAAGATAATTTGATGGATAGTTATGATGTAAGCATAGACCATAGTTATATTATTTTATTAGATATATTATTATGGCGTATTATCATTATTTATGTGAAAAATAAAACCTTTTCAACTTTCTATTATGAACGTACAAAACTGATATATTTTCACGAGAGGTCTAAAGAAAATTATGGGAGTCTGTTTACGGCCCCCTAATTCTACGTCTATGTGTCCTAATACTAATTGTGATTTGGATTGAACTATCGGTAATGTTTGAGGATATGTGGAACAAATTGTCGAAGAAAAGACAAGCAAAAATACTGATTGATCGGTACGACAGCCGGATTTGTGAAAGATTTTCGAAAAATTTACATTGTCTAAAGCGATGGTCCATCTGGATTTCATTACATCGCCGCACAGAGCTATTTAGTTTGTTAAAGTCTTTGATCAAAACCTTCAGCAGTCTAAACTTTAATGATTATATAAAATTTGTCACTATGAGAACTTCCCATAAAGGACCCGTACATAGCAATAATAATTCTTTCAGGACCGTTGGCATATAGTCAGAAATCTTCCAGTGACGATGAAACCCAGTTGAAATTACGTTAAGTTCTTTGAATTAGAATTTTAGCAACCATTATAACTCGGAGAGATTATAATCCAAGTACACCATTATGCGACAACCGGCAAGAATAAGGTCTGGCTTCAAGTTTAATATATTCCTTGGCGCGCTCGTTTGTCTCAACTCTCTAATCTTGACAAAGCTGAACGATACATAGAATATTAATTACATTACATTTACCATTTTTCCATAATATAGGTACACAACAACGTTTATATCTAGTTTAGTATGATTTTTAGTACACATTTTATCTAAGAGTGTTGTTCACTAATGTTTTATGCGTTGCAGTTACTGCAAGTTTTAATAAAAACCATTTTTAACATTTATTAATTTGATTTCGACTGACTTATTGATTTATTAAGGACAAGTTCGACGTAGAAACAGCATCAATAATAATTTTACATTCCAACGGTCAAAAATGACAGGGCTATTACTCGCGATGCATTACACGCAATTCTGTCATTTTTTCATCGTTGCACATCAGTCTTATTTATACTTTAACTTACCCATTTTTCCTTCTAATACGGTTCGCCGAGTTTTCAAAAAATACGCTTGTTTACTTAAAGCGTGCTATACTAGATATTTCTCTTTATCTTAATATTTTTAAATTCAAGAACATTGAAAGTCGACTACCGTATCCTACTGGTATATGCTATTATTATGCTCACCCATAATGATTGATTTGTCATACATTTTGTCAAAACCTTCGCATTTGCTGTTTGCGAATCATGTGCCAACACATTATTTGTAAGTCAAACCTGCAACGAAACGTTTCTGTAATAGCTATGGTCCTTGACAATTGTGAGCTTGAAATTTATAGCTGCAATTACCGTGCGCAAATTATAATCCTTGTTTTATTTTATTTGCTCTGCATTTGTTTGTCCCGTTAAATTCTAGCAAGGGTCGATTTGTCGCGGATTCGTTGATAAAATAATATATATTACTATTATGTACACATCACTTTGTTGTCGACCTAACGAAACGCGAAAACTTGTCTAAAACCAAGCATCCGGTGTAAAACAAAGTTATCCCAAAGGCCCATAAATCGGTCGAAATAAATTTAACTTTAGACTTAATGCGTTTGTCGCGCTGTGGCTCTCGTTTAATGTTATAATAGTATAATAATATTATGTTTATACATTCTAGTTTAAAACGAGGAATTTTGTCATAATTTTGGATTGATACGGAGTCAAGCGTTTAGTACCTAGGTACTTATTTCGAATATGATCGCTTTAGCAGGAAGTACAATTTATTAAATATGAACGAGAAAACGCTCAAGTCAAAATAAAATTAGCAAAAGTGAAAACGCAATACAATGAAGACGGACGTCGCATCACAGCACAGTGGGCCAGAATACAAAAATAGTTGGCAAAAAAAAAAAAACATTTTATGGGTGATTTAAAAGTTAGCATCAAATTTGGATTTAGTGACCTCGAATACATACACTTCAATGTTTTTTTGGGATTTTTTAGAGTACCTACATTTTCAGCAATAATAGTTTCGGTTGACTATTATTGAATTCTGGTCACTGTGCCCGGTCGAAAATAACTCGGCGATTTGGTTTGTAAATTAAAAAAAACAATTACATAAACGTATACATAAATATTTATCCATAGCACACGTGTATTTAGAACGCACCATGGACGTCGTCACGATATTGTTTATACATATTTTCTAACCGCGATTGACTCTCCCGAAAATATCAAACTTAAAATAATAAAGTGCAATTTGACGGGATACAAAATGGCTGACAGGTCTACCGCACAAAAAGGGTGAACTATTTAATTTTGAATGTTACAACATGTGAATTGACAGCACGCCAACGACCGCGTGACAAATCTCAGGGACCGGCAAGTCTTACGGTATAAAAAAAAAGTGCATAAAACTAAGTGCTAAATCGCGATTTCTATTATCGATGATTAACACATTTTGACGTGTGTGACGCGAAATTAAAAAATACATTGATCATTACAGTAACTAGGTCAAAAACTAGGTTGCTTTTAGATTTAAAGTCAGATTTACCATCATATTATACAACTATAATATTAGTGAAAAATTATTTATGATATACTTATTTTTAACTTTTAAAATGCAATTTATTTGTTCACGTATTGCCAAATTCCGGAAATTGAATTGTTTTCATAGAAAATGTATCTAACTTTGGTTCAACTACCAAATAAGTCCACAAATAAATCTATCTACATAAAAACTATTCTCTGCGAAGATATCACAAAATGTGTTTCTTCTCCGCCATTAGGATCAAGAATTGTATTTTTGCCGTGGTTGAAATGTACAGGTTATTGCACATCGTCTCGAATTGTTATCTTCAGAAATAAAATGGCAGCGTAGTAGGGCATCGATTTTACTATTACTATATTATATTTTACTGTGTATACTGTAGATACATACTTGATTTTGCCTCCCTTTACGCTGACATATTTGTTTTTATCATCGAATTTTGATAAAGAAGGGGTATAAATTATAATGTGTGCAATAACCTTATACATTTTAATCACGATTTTTACCACCGTGATAAATGTCAAAGTGAGTTAATGTCTATGGGTTATCTGGTTGTTGCACTCGGTCGCTAATTTTTTAAATAAATCAATTTATGAGCCAAATCAAAAGTAGGTACTATTCTGTATTAGCCAAGGTACTTTGATATTAGCTTTTTATATGAAAAACAAAAAAGTTTTCACATTACATGTTTTATACCTTAGTCTATACATAGTTAATAAGACTTACCGTTACTATCAGAAGGGCATTATATTGGTTTTAGTATTTTGTCTAGATAATAATATATTATTATTATGCGCTTTTATGGGAAAATTTCAATTTTGCGTGTGTTATTATTCCGGTTACTATTAGTTACACATACGAGTATAGTATGTAAAAACGTCGTTCGTGTTACGATAACGATAGAAGAATAATGTTAGTTTTTTTATTTTACTAAAATAACGCCGCTGCCCAGTGCCCTGCATTTATTAATTAATTTATAATAAGTGTTTCAGTATAGGATTTTTTAATAAAACACTCGACGGTAAACACTTTAATTGAAAAAAAGAATATGCCAGAGAATTAATATAAATTTAAACAAAAAATAAATGAGTATAGATCAAGTTTTTTTTAGTGACTGCTGCAAGTTTAAAACAAAAAAATAAGGTACGTGTCATAAATGTGACGTTACAGTCAGGAGTTTTAGTAATTTAGTTTTACACTTTTACCTCGCCGAGAATGTCTAGTTTTTATGCATATCAAATTTATTATCGCTTTTTTATTTTTGTAGCGTTTTAATAGTATAATTTTTTTTTACTGAGAACACCGGCCTGTTACAAAAAGTTGATTAAAAAACCTAATCAATTATTATTCATGTATTCTACCCTAATTGTGTAAAATATTTATTTTATACTTGGACAAAATATAGCTGCTGTAAAATGACTGCGGTCCGTTTAATTAGAGTTAATTTACTGCGTTATCAGTACTAATAAAAAAACCAAACAAATTATACTTATCAAAAAGTACAGTTTTAACCTTGACACAAGCATTTAATTGGGACAGTCAAGGCATTTGTAGAGTATTATTGTCCGAAACATAATATTTATTTAATAAAGCTTTTTATGTTTGATGTAATAATTAATATATTTACTATCGATGAGGTTTTTTTT